GCCGAAGTATTGTTATTATAGGCGACTTTTACTAGTTGCTACCTATTAGCGGTCGACCTCTGTTTTCTAGGCTTGAAGATCTTTATATACCCGAGGATATCGCCGGATACACTTTGTATTAGCTGTTTAATTAGACTATTTAACTTAATGTAATTTAGCGATAGCAGGGCACAGATGCCTTATCTTATACATTCCGTAAGGCTCTCGAGGGCCTTCGCAATATTCTAGGGAGCATTACGATCGCATATTAGGATACGTTAGTTACGCGTCTTAAAGCTAATCTTTCGCCTATAGAGCAAGACTTATTTAAAGATGCTCTCCGTCTCTACCTATATAAGAAGCAGGTAAACGCTTTTAACTAGGACGCTATATGCGACAACAATACTCCGATCTCTGTTGCTACTACCGAACACTCTAGCAGTTTATATATAGCCTAGGCATCGTACGATGTTAGTAGTAATCTTTACCTACGGTTACCTCTATATATTAGCGCCCGTATTATAGTAACCTAGAACCTATAGGTAGAGGGAGGTGTTATTAACGGTAGTATAGGCACTATTCGTAATATTGTCTAGGAGGACAATAGTAACGATTATAATAAGATTGTCTAGTATCTTCCTACCGTTCTACTCGTCTAGCTCGATCGATATAATAGTCCGATATTAAACGCGCAGTACGACCTAGACAACTAGTATAATCTTCTAGCCGGTGTTGTACTAATAGTTCCCGTTCGTCGCGAATAGCTCTACAATTAGCGATAGGATATACGTTGTATACGAACACAATTTCCGGCTACTATTGTATACGCCGTTACTGTCTATAAGTCCTAGGGTATAACCCTAGACAAGGTTGTTCTAGATATATCTAAGAAGGACTTTACCCCTAGCCTGTCTTATATTGCTGTCTCTAGAGCACGGAACATCTATAACCTAATGTTTAATAAGCTATTTAACTTCTATAAACGCTTTAAGCAAGGCAAGGCTTAGCGGTTAGTAATCGCTCGATACGCTAACTATATACGTCGCCGCCCTTAGCGCTTACTCCCTCCTAATAACCTTCTCTCGTCGGAAGCCCCGAATCCGGCCTAGTAGCCTTCGCGCAACAATGTTTCTAATCGCAAGGAAGTATAGAAGAAGCGCTAAGATTAGCTAGTTCGGTAGTAGGCCGTATAGTAAGAGCAGCGTCGATAGCAAGAGATAGCGCGCCTAAGAATAGATCTATAGGCTATCGCTCGTGCCGAATAGATATAGAAGATTCTTTATTAGAATCTATAGCTTCCCTTTAACCTTAATCGTCTAGCTTGTAACTTTACGCATATACCGCTAGAGCTATACGATTATCGCTAGCCCTTACGAGATAGAACTACTAATACACTATTAGTTGCGGGATTAGTAGAGGCCTTTAAGCAGCAATTTCCTTAGTAGGCCCCTCTATATATCTCTTAAGGTTAACAAGGTTAATAAGGTTAATAAGGTTAATAAGGTTAATAAGGTTAACAAGGTTAATAAGGTTAATAGCTACCCGGAAATAGCGGCTACCTAGCATATAGTCTTCCTGCAATATAGCTAGCCCTAACTAATCCGCTAGCTATAGACTTCTTTTAGCGAGTCGCGGCAAATCGGAAGCAAGTCGAGTAGGTACGAATACTACGGCAACAAGGCTAGCAGCAATCGAGTTAGCTAAGGCCGGTCGCTCCTCGAGACTATATCTCTCGCTATGCATATAATTTAATGTAACTAGGCGATATTCTTAATGTTGCTTAATTAGCCCGTTGCTTTCTTAATTAGTATCTATAGTACTAGCTCGATTATAAGTTCGAATATAGACTAGCTTTAGCACTAGGTGTTACCTTATACTTCCGCCGTAGTGTTAAAGTCTTTATACGCGTAGAAGATCGCAATACATAGGAGGAAATAGCATACGAGGCGATAACTACCTAATAGGCTGCTACGTACGACAATCCGTAGGATGTAATAGGCATCTAGGAAGCAATTGCATTATAGGAAATAGACATAGCGGCTACATAGGATAGTAAGCAAGAGGCAACTTAGCAGGAGCACTATAGTAACGAGGTTGATATAAGTAGGACTTGAATAGCTTAAGTGTATTCTATTAAACAACAGCTGCTATAGGGCTATAAGCGATCGCTAGTATAAGCGTATCGCTTATATTAGCAATCCGTACTTATAGCGACTATGTGCCGTAGCTACTGCCAATTAATAGGTTGTATGTATACTAATAGTTTCTATAGATTAACGTGTGCTTATAAACAAGCCCTTTTAGCTTAAGTTGCGTAGAGGGTACTAACAGCTTGCGTAGATTGTTATTTCGCGCTCGCCCGCTTTGCTAGACTTATTAGCACTCGCAGGGCTATAAGTATATCCTTATAAATAGTCGTCTAGAAGGGCCCTTAGTGCATTTCGCTAGTTAAGCTCGTAGTTACGAATATAGTCGTTATATTGCTTTCGACTAGAGCTATTAAACATAGTATAGTCTCTAAGCTTAGCATCCTTCCTCTTCTAAATAGATAATAAAGGCTCTGCTATTAGTCTAGTAGTAGTTATCGGGGCTTCCTAAAGGCGATAGAGTTCGAGGAGGTTATCCTTTAGCTACTATTCTTAACGTAGGGCAGTAAGCCTGTTTTAAGTAGCTTCTTAAAGTCTCCCTACTAGTTAGGGCCTAAAGGCTAGTTAGCTATATCGTCGATTAACAATATTACTAAGAATATCGTTAACGGGCAATTCTAGATTATTACCTAGAATTATAGGTTCTTTATTAATAGGCTCTATACTACTAGTGTTGTTATTACTAGCGCTACTAGCGGCGCCGCGGTTGTTATTACTTCGTAATAAGCCGGCTATTGCAATAAGGGGTAGTACCGATAATATATTATAGGCCCCTATAGTGCGGATATAGCGGAATTAGTAGGTATCGGTTTAGTATGCTTAACTTAGTATAGTAGGCTATATAGAAGGCCTTGCTTAATAATTAGTACGGTTGTTTTAACAGAATAGTACGTATAGGTCCCGTTCTTCGGGCGTAATATAGGTAGATTAACGGTTTTCGTAGCTATACTACCAAAAGCTTAAAATAAGGACTATCTAGCTACTATCCTTAAAGGGTAGATCGAATACTATATAAGAAGGGTTATATTAGTAGGTAGATAGGGTAGCAGTAGGCACAAGCAGTATTTAATAAGAATCTAGAAGGAGAGGGAGGAAGGTAGGAGAGTTAGCCTATTGCTAAGCGCCAAGCCCTACCTAAGGCATTAAGACCCTAGCTATACTCGAGCCTAGTTATATACTAATTACGTATAACCTCTTTAGTCCTAATAGACTATTATGCCTTTTACGATTAATTTATAATCTACTACCTTACTAAACGCATTTACAGTCTTAACGATAGTTATATACGTATAGTTACTATTATACTTAGTCTAGGCGCGCCGCTTTGTATCTATTATAATAGTATACTCGTTACTACTAATTTTAATCTAAAAGATAGTTTTATCGAAAGTCTATATATTCCGCAGCTTTATATTTAGTCGCTTTATTATTACCTTAAAACAGTTAAACTAGCTCCCTATTATAGAAGGGTCGTAAGCTTCCTTCTACTATACCTTAATCGGCTTCGACTTAACCTTACTAAGCCTATAGCGCTTTAGAAAGCGGTCTACCTAATCTATACTAAATAGCGGTATTATATCCTTCGATATCTCTTCTAGTAGTAGGCTTACTAGTATATCTATCGCTATAATAGTAATTAGCGGTACTAGTAAGAATATATCTATTTCGTCCCTTTTTTAATAATAATCTACTAGCGCTATCTCTTAAGACTCGCGTCTAATTTAGCATTAGTTAATAGACGACTAGATAGCAACCTACGGCCTCTTAACTACTAGCAGATACGAGAATATAGGCGAGTTACTTTCTTACTCTTATAGAGCGCTCGAATACTAACCTTTTTATAATCCGATTTAGCTACTAATTCGTAGTATCTTAAAACGACGCGTTCTACTACCCTCTCTATCCTCTCTACCTCGGTTAATCGCTTAGCTTATACCTTCTTTACTTTTTTATCCTTTTTACGCCTTATACTAAGTTTTATATATAATCTATATAGTAGAATTATAAACATAAGAAATAGGAGGAATATACGCTTTAGAATAAGGTAGACGCGACTACTAAGAATTATATAAGAAATAGCAATAGTAAGGTCCTATAGCTACTATATACTTAGATAAACTAGCTAATATAATACTTAGACTCGCGGTTTAATACTATATATACCTAGATATCTGTATAGGCCTAGAATCTACTACTATATCGAGTTTTACGTATAGCCTACTAAGAAAAAGCGATTTTACGTATGGCCGGAACCCCCGCGAACAGCGGGGAGGAGTGTGTGACGGAACCCCGGATACGGCGATACGGTCCAGGTCCGCGCGTGAATGGCTATTTATTAATGCCTGCAACACACCATCTTGCGGTATACGCTTCGAGTCCTCCTGTTCTGGTCGATGAGAGCAACCTGATCAGGCGTTGGCATGTCGCCTCTGTATGGGATGTAGCTGGTCCTCGTGATTATTGCTGCCCATCCCCATCCACCTTCACTTCATCTTCTGCAGAAGCCAACCAGTCACACTGGTTGATGACTGGGAGTCTGGGACCTTCAAATTAGCCTCGCACTCTATCAGACCACTGCCGAACCCGCTTCTATTCTAAGCGTTGTCAATGTCAGCAGCAGATGTCCATATGCATCTAAACCCCCTTCCTGCCTGCCTGCGTCATGAGGCAATCTGGCAATCAACATCAAGCCTGTTCCGAACCCTTGATCAGTGCCTTGTGCCGCCGTGATCTTGACACATTCACGTTCACGCACATTTCCCCGAAGCATGTGATCCTCGCCTACCTGGAGCGTGGATCTAGGTGAGTCGCGCGTGGCCGATCCAGATTCACAGACCATCTCAATGCTGGCTTGTGGTGAACAGGTACTGAGCCATGTCTTTCAAGCGCTCCAGAGCTGCATTTGAGTCCGACCGAGAGGCTCCACCTCACCACGCGCCATTCGCTCTATATGGCACTCCGCTGCCCCCTTTCGAGGAGAACGCTCGCGACGATGGAAGTTACGTCCCTGTCTGGAAACAGGAAGTGACGGATGAGCGTGGGCGGAAGAGATTACACGGAGCCTTTACCGGTGGCTTCAGCGCAGGGTACGAAACGTCCTCCCTGTATCTTGAAATGCCTTGAAGTGTTTGCTGACACATCTGCTAGGTACTTCAACACTGTCGGATCGAAAGAAGGCTGGACCCCAAGCACATTCGTCTCCTCGCGCAGCAACCGCGCCAAGCCTCAACAAGATGGCGCACAGCAGAGACCGGAGGACTTTATGGACGAAGAAGACCTCGCCGAGCAGGCTGAGTCGCAGAAGCTGGAGACGCAAGGAGCCTTTGCTGGCCTAGGCAACACAGCTGGTGCGAATGGCACCAGAGGCATGATCTCAGACTTGTTCAGAAGTACAGGTGAAACGAAAGGCATAAAACTGCTGCAAAGAATGGGCTGGCGCCAAGGACAAGGCATCGGTCCAAAAGTCAGACGGCGAGCTGCTGGAGACAAGACTGGCGAGACTCATCTGTTTGCACCAGATAACTCACGCATGATTCGATTTGTACGCAAGACAGATCGCAAAGGACTGGGTTTTGCAGGTGAAACCGGCCTTGATGGCATGGGCCGTGCTGCTGGTAAAGACGAGGAAGACGATGACAGCGACGTGGACTCGAGAATCTTGAGTCGCAAGTCAAAGGTGGCTACAAAACCAAAACCGCTGAACAAGTCTGGGGTTGGAGTTGGCGTGCTGAATGATGATGGCTCAGACGAAGAAGATCCGTACTCGATGGGCCCGAAAATCAACTACAGCAGAATCATTGGAGGCGACAAGAAGGGGAGGAAAGGTGGTCTGGTGGCGAGCAATGCCAGTTCAAATGTGGTGAGGCCGACTCTTCAGCAATCCAAGAAACTTGCGCAGCGAAGTGCTGATGTGGCCAACTTCCGGAAATGCCACGATGGACGAATACCTCTCGACGGGTTTGTGCTTGCGACTGCATCATTAATCATTTCAGACCATCACTACTCGCCACCTGATGTGCCATCCGGTTGGAAGCCAGCTGGTCAGAGTGCCGCAAACACAACGAAGGCAACTTATCAGTCCACCGCTGATGCTGCCCAAGCGTCGACGTTGGATCCCAAAGCTCGAGCAGATTTGCTCGGTGAAGAGCAATTGCCCGGTAAATCGATTTTCGATTTTCTCACTCCAGCTCAGCGCGATAAGCTTGCTGCGGCCAGCGGGAAGACTAATCTGCCTGCTGCTCTAGGCGAAAAGGCACCCAAGGGCTACGAGCAGAGCGAAGCTGAGAAACGACGCACCCTCTGGGATTTGGTGCCGAGCCTGAGCAAAGAAACAGCCGCTGCTGCTCTGAATCGAGGTAGGACTGGATGGATGCCGTATTCGGAAGATCTAGAGAAACGTGAGCGCTACAAATATTACCTCGAGCTGAATGCAGGTTTGCAGTCAAACTTGCCACAACGTCCCAAAGGCTCTAGCCTAGAAGAATGGGCACAGGAGATGAGAGAGTTCGTCGAAGCAGCTGAGATCTTCAAGCCAGTCTCGGGCCTCATGGCGTCGCGATTCACTTCTGGCAGCGATACTCCCCAGCTTGCATCAGACCGACCCGACACTATTCCAGAGGCCCAGGAAAAAGAAGAAGATCCTGCTGAGAAGGCCGCCAAGATGAATCTCTACGGTCCTCTGACGCGAAAGACGGAATCGTTTTACCCAAGCCGTCTACTCTGCAAGCGCTTCAATGTCAGACCACCTCCAAATGTGGCAGCTGGCAGCGCAGGTGATGATCGTAGTGATACTGTAGAAGAGAGCAAGAGATTGGGTATCGTCAGCCAGGCGAGCATTGATCGCATGATGATGGAAGCAAACTTCCAGGCCAGAGGAGGCAGCGGAGAGGGAGGCGTGTTAGCTGAAGCCTTGCAGGTGCAAAGGGAGAAAGCTGAGGTCGACGTTGAGAAAAATGACGCTCTCGAAGGCAAGAAGGCTGGCGAAGAAGTTTTCAGGGCTATTTTCGGGGATGACAGCGATGATGAGTGAGAGGTGATATAAGTCGCCGCTTGTCAAGTGCAGTCTACAAAGCAACCCGACGACAATAGAACGTTTTCCTTACTCGAGGCCCGAGAAAGGCACATTACTACATTGAGCTATTAGCAGCCAAAACCACCGAGTCTTCGTGATTTTGATCCTTCTCTTCAAGCCTCCAAGCTGCCGCAGCGAGGCACATAGCACACCGCGAGATAGTGTTTCGGGCAGACCGCGACAACGCATTATTCTGAGTGCCACGCGTAGAGTGCTCGCCGAGATCAAGCAAGAAAAGATCCCCAAGCTCTTTCCTCGATGCCGCGTGTACACGGCATCTTTTCTGGCACGAATGTTTCCTTCTCCAGCGCACCCTCCTCATTCAAGGCCACACTGATGAAAGTCGACAAAGTGTGTAGCTGTAGCGGCCATCCCACAACCCCGATCCAAAGAGAAGATTTGGACTTGACGCGGTTGGTAGGAAAGACGGACGCGAAAACATCCTTCTACAAGGCCGGGAACGGAAGAAAACCCATAGAGAATATTGGATAGCCCTCAGCAAGCTGCCGTAGCAGAGCCTTGATGTTGACGTGTAGTCAACTCTACTGATGTCTTTTCGAAGGAGGAGCGCGAGGGAGCAGACAAATTTATGCGCGGAAAAACGCCAAGAAAATGGTCTGTGCTTGCCGTTCCCGCTGGACCGATCGAACTGGAACCTCATCCGATACTGATGCCTTGCTACGAAGCGGAACTTGACAAAGGATACAATGATAGCACAGGGCAGAGAAGGAAATTTTACCAATGAGACGGCACGACAGAAAGACTGCCAGCAAAGTCGTCTACACTTATAGCGCTGGCGAGTGCTCGATTTCATCAGCCATCACCCGGAAATAGTCTACGGATGCGGATTGCTCAGGTCATGTTATGTTCTCGCGCCATTATTGTTCCAGTTCCGGGTCGTCGTATGGCTACAGAAAGCACTATTCATGGGCAGCGGTGAGGTCCTGCGAGTCGGCAACGACCTCAACCCTTTACCATACCTCTCTCCCTCTGTTGCCAATATAGCGTACTCCGGTATGCTACTGAATGCAGCAGTTCCCCAGAAACTTGAGACCACAGTCATCGAAAAGATCCCGATGACGATTCCACCATGAAAGGCGAAACAGAGAAAGCACGCCTTGAACGATGAGGGAGCCCCTGGAATCCGTATGGAAAGAAGTTGGCTTCGTATTCTCCGTCACGGTCTCACGCCTGCTGAACGAGTACTTCGTCACCAACTGTCGCCGATGCCTTACACATACCAGCTTCATCAACTACCCGGCCTGCGAGCGCCTTCTCGGGCCTGGTACGCCTGCCTGGCATAGTAGGCTGCTTTCTCGCCATCTCCGGTGGCTTCTTCCTTCACATACTATCGCCACGAATACTCATGCTCATAACGGGCGTTGCGATCATTATTGAATCTCTGCTTTTCCCTCTCTCTCCAAGACATGCATCGTACTGGGCTTGCATATTCACGTCCACGGTCGCAGTCCACTTCATCTTCAACGTCGCCGACATCTACTTCTCGACATCATTGCATTCCCGACAGCAGGGCCTGGCCGTAATGTGCTCATGCAGCTTGGCATCGCGCTCTTGTCGCACATCAGGGTCAAAAGCAAAGCTACCAGAACGTTTTCTGGCTCAACGGTACTACGGCCGATGAAAGAGAGGAGGAGCTAAGGAGATAGATCTTGACCACAAGCACCAAAATTGTGATCCAAAAAGGAGCTTCAATCCAGCAAAAAGCGTGGCGTGGATATGGATCAACAGGTCCCGCTGCGAATCGAACGCAGGTCTTCGGATCTCAGGGAGACACCCTGAAGACAATCGCAATGGTTCAGTTGTTGAAACTGAGCCAAAACTAAGCCAACATGAGTCCAGATGTGCTTGCCACTGCACCACGGGACCAGATTTCGTCAGTTATGTAGCATCACCTGTTGTATGTACATAGAAAAGAAAATACTATTGATGTATGCTTGTCGCTTTTCAAAGGTACAGACAATTCATCATCAGCATGTGGTCGCAGTGAGTCTGCCTTGATCATACATCATGGGGCTTTAGCTGGATATCGATGCATTGGTTTATGCTCGATCCTGGTTTGAAAGCATAGTTCAGCTACTGCTTTGATTATCTTTCGATCCTAAGCGGTATCTCCCAGCGCCCAGACTCCAGAACCACCCCAGAAATGCATAGATCCTCCTCTTTGGCTACGCAGCTGTGACTCCAGAAGACAAAGTACGATCATCGGACTCTCATCATATGGCTTCCCGAATGTGCCCAGGGGTACCTAGTGCGTCCTGACTCGAATGTTCACCATGCAGGCGCGCTGCGAGGCTGTGCGATCTCGAGAGCCCTACTCATAAACGAGCAGTAGCATCGCTTGATCTAGAGCCGAGTAGTACAGGAGCTCCACGAAATGTGTGCGAGATGTATTACGCCTCAACCTCCATCTCTCCGCCAGCATTGGAAGGCTCCTCATCACCAAAGAGTCCCTCAATCTTGAAGGCTTCTCCCAATTTCTCCACCACAACCACATCACCCACTTTTCTCTCAGGTTCTGTACTTAGGCCCAACTTCAGTCTGCCTTCATTCAGATCTCCCAACACAGCCAGCGCAGCACCGTTTAAGCTCGGCACACCGCCAGGTCCCAATCTTCCCTTCTTTCTTGCCACGTCTATGAGGAATCTCGTCGTGGTGTCACTTCCTGCTGTGACAAGTGGAGGCAGTTTGTAATAGTCCAATATCTGCTGGACCCCAGTCTGTGTGCCAGACAATTTCGTAATGAGGCGCATGACAGGTTTTATTGGATCTGCGAGGACCGACTTGGGCAGTGGTTTCGCTTTTGGCGCCGATGGCCGGACACCGGCCTTAGATTTTGTGGATGTTGGTTTCCTCTTGTCCTGAAACCCCGAGAATTCTTCTTCTTCGTCCTCATCCTCATCATCGTCCTCATCGTCGGCGGGTGCGTAGGTCTTTGCTCTCGCTTGTGCCGAAGCTACGAGCGCAGCCATGGGATTTGAGGAAGCACCGCCCTCACCCTCGTCCATATTCTCATCGACCTCATCCTCGACCTCGTCTGCATCGTCCATTTGCTCCTCAATTTCCACTTCGTCCGCAACAGCTTGGCCTTCTCTCTGCGCTCGTGCCAACTCGCGCTTCCGCAGCTTCTCTTCCTCCTTCAAACGCTTTGACTCCTCAATCTCTGCGAGCACTTTGTCCTTGTATGGAAAGAGATTGGGAATACCAGGGTCCTTCTTCAGACGACTTCGCCATTGTGGGTTCTTTTTCGCATCTTTCCGTGCTTTGCGCTGTTTGTTCGCCGAAGCCTTCTGGATCTTGTGCCGCAGACGCACAGGCACGCGCTTGGATTGAGGCTTGCCAACCTTCATGCTGGGCGCTTTGGATGGTCTGAAATACAGAGATTGTGTGGTCGCAAAGTCCCGGAGATGGGAGATGGAATTTCTTCGTGCTGCTCGTATCGATAAGCGGGAGGCGGGAACTCAAAAAGCATGGGTGTCTGTATTCTGAAAAGCATGAATCTTTGGCAACGGTTCACTCAATCTGCCATGATGCGCGAACGGTCAATCAGCTCATGGGCCTGTTGAGAAAAGATGATAGACGCCTGGATGTTCGCTGAAAGGAGAAAGGACCAAACTTTGAAATCATTCTTCGATTTTTGCTTGTCCCAACGCTATGCATATGTGGGACTGGGAATCGTCTGCACCTCTAATTACTCTCGTAGCGCCATGCTTGCCTGAACATGAGCATTTTGAACACCAAATACCAATGCCTCATGGCTCTCATGCTTTGAACAAAGTAGCTTCGGGAAACTTCTTGAGAGCTGCATCAACATAGCTTTTCCGCTCCGCCTCCGAAACGCCAAGATCTTTCAGAAGTTGTAAACCATGCTGTGCCTCCTCAATTGTGATGTGTGGTGCGGTGAGCGTGGTTTGGAGATCCTTCACGGCTCTCGTGCGTGTCGACTCATCGTTGGGCTTAAGAATGTGTCTGAAGTAGACGACTGATTGGATGTGAGGGACACTGCTGTTGTGCTGTGTCAAGTACTCCTCGTTACACTCTTCTAACGATTTTGGCGACAGTTTAGAAAGGTAGTGTTCTTGTATTACCTTCTGCACCGGCTCAGGTAGTGATTTCAATGTGTTGTTCGTGTCGAGGGCGAGCTTGAAGCGACCACCAAGCTCGTGGCATTTTGGGTGGTCAGGCTGGAGTTTGTGAGCTGCGAGGAGGCATCGAAGGGCAGGAAGGTATTTTTCTGTGGTATGGTCAGCAAGAATTCACCACGCATCCGATCGCATGTTACTTACTTCTCCGGAGATAGACCTCGAAACCTGCGATCTGAGCATTGATGTCGTTCGGGCTCAGATCAAGGAGAGGCTGAAGGAACTTCATGGCCTCCTCGAGCGGCTTCTCGGTCTTCAGCAACTCTAAGCCTTCTGGATCCGGATCTTCTTTTCTCGCAGTCTCCTCGCCATCTTTCGGCGCCGGGTTGGCCTTCTTGGCTGCAGCCGCTTTTCGCTCCGCTTCAGCCTTATCAGCTTCTTTTCTCGCTTTCTTCGCAGCTTTCTTCTTGTCTGCAGCGCTCTCTGCGCCATTTGCTCCACCTTTCGCTATTTCGGGCCGATCGTGAAGGAGACAATACACCTTGATTGCCGATAATGCTGCTCGCGAGAAGAATGGATGCTCGCGGAGCTTGTCTTCCCATCGGACCATGTCAATGTATGCTCGGATCATACCTTTCCGGAGTGAAAAGGTGTGGAAGTCAAATTGATCTTCTTGCCACACATCAAAAACATCATAGAGTGCCTTGAAACGCTTCAGCGCTAGCGAGTATTTTCCTTGTCGAAGGTAGGACTCGCCGTCTTCGGTGATGAACCAGACGCACTGCATGTCGAGGAGGTCACCGAGTGGGCCCCCAACAGCCTCTTTGCGTGTGAACAGGCCCATGGTATCGAGAGCGGCCTGGTTCTCATCATTTCGGAGCTGATACTTGGCGCATTTAGTGTTGATGTACCGGTCCTTTAGATCCATTTCCCGCGCCTCGTTCATCGCCTTCGATGCTCCTGGGACGTCGCCCTTGTGCTTCAATATCCTAGCGCGAGTCATATGGTACGTGTAGTCGGTCTTGCTTGGGTTGATTGCTATCGCCTTCTCGCTGTAAGTGTGTGCTTTTGCGAGGTCGCGAGACAGGTGATAGTTGTAATGCTGAGCCAGGAAGTAGTTCACGCTCAAAGGCCAACTATGCTTCTTCGATGTGGTATTCGTCTTGTGAGAGCCATCGGCGCTGCCATTTTGTTCCGCTCCTCCGTTTGCCTGAGGTTCTTCGTTGACATATTCTTCGACAAGCTGCTGAATGGTGTCACGTTTCGCAGAGTCCGAGTAGAGCTGCTTGACATTGGCGAACGTGCTTGGAACACCCTTCGTGAAGGCCCTTCGGAGGTATGAGTCGGCATGCTTTCGGAATGAGTCGCCGGTCAGGAAGTCGAGTGGTATCCGCCTAGCAGCATCACTTCGAATATTCTTGTCCGCATAGTATTGATACATTTCCTTCAGCTTCTCCTCGTCTTCTGAACTCGCACGCTCGAGTCCGAGCGACTTCTCCAAGCCATTATAGTATTCTCTCTTCTCCGCGTTCCTATCCAAAAGTGCGCGATATGCCTTTTCAGCTTCAGCCCTCTTGTCAAGCTTGAGCAGATATGCCGCCTTGTACTCCATGACTGCCGTTCGATCCAATGCTGTTCTGTATATTGACTCAAGATGCTCCAATGCTCGCTGGTAGTCGCCCTGTTCCGCGATGATCGTATTCTTGTACAACACAGCCTCTGCGTGTTCAATATCACTCTTGGATGGCGTGGTCTTCAGCGTCTCCTCGAATCGATGCAAGATATTCTCTGCCTTGTCAAGATCGCCGCCGAGATGATGTGCGACGGCCAAAGCTGTCCAATTCTGCCGCATTTGGGGCCTAGCCTGCAGCATCTGGTGTCTGCTTGCCGCAAATCCTGCATAATCTCTCATCTGCACCTGCAGCAGGGCGAGGTCTCTTTGTATTTGCTGACTCTCCGGGTCCAGCTTCAATGCGAACCTATACGCCTTGATCGCTTCCTCGTAATTCTTAACACTGCGCCAGAGAAGACCGTAGACATGCCAGCACACATGCGATTTCATGGCATTCTTCAGCGCTTGCTTGCAGAGATCGAATGCCTCGTCTGACTTGCCCTGAGTGTTGAGGATCAGCGCCTTCATCGCTTGTGTATCGCCATGTGTCGGGTGTTTCTTGAGGATCTGGTCGGCGCCTTTCAGACCTTTCTTGTACTGCTTCGATTCGTAGTTCTGGACAAGGTGCCGAAAGAGCGTTTGCTCTTTTGATGGGAGTTGTTGCGACATGTCTGCGAGCAGTATCAAACTAGGCTAGGACCAGTAGCGTGCGAGAAAATGGATTGGCCAGCCAGATGATACGGTCGGGCGTGAGGAACGATTGAAGGGAGAGGCTCGGCTTCTTGAACTTGATGGATGTCTGGCTGCTGTCGTGGGTGAGGGACGAGTCGACACTGGAAGCTTAGTCTTCTCAGACCATGGAAGATATACTGGGCACGAGAGCGCTGCAGTGTGAGAGGTGGAAGAAGCCCTACAGGGCGTAAGCGAAAGATTTCGCCGATGGAGTTGTCTGTTTGCACTTTTGCGCTTTTGGCACTTCAGCAGTCGCATCGAGCTTCGATGCTTCGCCCCACCTTCGCCCATGCCAAGCCAGGCACACGACATCACACACCAACAAGCAGAGGCGTATGTACAGGACGAGCGACTCGACTTCAGGGACTCCATGTTGCTCTGTCGCTTGGCCAGCGGTCTGAAATCTGTCAAGTCGTCGTTCGGTCGGACATTACTGGAACCCACAAGCGTCAAAGGAATACGTTACGGGGCACTTGCGAAATTCTTCAAATGCAAACTTTCATACTCCTAGACGCGGCTCCTTACACATGACGAGATCTCCCGAAAGTAGAAGCAACGCCTTGCAAAGAAGCACCGCCAGTAATGCAGCCCTCAGCCCGCGAAAGCAGCATCCACGTGTAGAGAGATATGATCAAAACAAGATACACGACTCCAGCATGCTAGCTAATCACCAAGAGGGCAGAGACAACCAGTTTCCCAGTCTGCGGCCTTCCCATGAAGCCTCCAGCGCCCTTCTGTCATCCCATTCTCTCTGCTTGTCCTGCTGCCGCAAACGTGAGTCTAAGGTGTGGCAATTCCGAAGCACGGGAACCATGTGCTGTCTGTGTTTATATCCTTGATTCGTGCTTTGTCATACGTTTCGGTGGGTAGAGTACATCTAGTTGTGGCCAGCCTTGCGCAGCGAGTTGCTCAGCCACTCGAGACCCTCGTAGAGACCATCTCCGGATGTAGCGCAAGTTGATTGGATGTACTAGCTCACTGTCAGTATTATCCCGTCTCCGTGCGTAGCGTGTCGACTTACCCAGGCACGTTGCCTCAAGCTGTGCAGACCGAGCTTGTCGGTGATCTCGGCGGCGTTCATGGCGTTTGGCAGATCCTGCTTGTTGGCGAAGACCAGGAGAAGGGCATCTCGGAGCTCGTCTTCGTTCAGCATGCGCTGGAGCTCCTCGCGAGCCTCAACGACACGATCACGATCGTTGCTGTCGACGACGAAGATGATACCCTGGGTGTTCTGGAAGTAATGTCTCCACAGAGGACGGATCTTGTCCTGTCCACCGACATCCCAAACGGTGAATTGGATGTTCTTGTACTCCACAGTCTCGACGTTGAATCCTATTTGCCCAAACTGTCAGCCTCGGCCAGCTTCTTCATCAATTCCTAGCACGCACCAATGGTTGGGATGGTGGTAACGATTTCACCGAGCTTCAACTTGTAGAGAATAGTTGTCTTTCCTGCAGCGTCTAATCCGACCATGAGGATACGCATCTCCTTCTTGCCCCAGAGGCGATCGAAAAGCTTCGAGAATGTGAGACCCATGTTGGCGGTACGTGTCGGGGTTCAAATTGGAGAGGTGAGAGAGGTGGTTATGCTTCTGAATCAGTGCTACTGCCGAGAATGCGTCAGCGTCCGTGGTAGATGCGTAAACTTATTGCTGTCGTGACCTCAAAGTCATCGCCAGTGAAAGAGCAATATTCCCGAGCCATTGCGCCGCAAGTTGTATGCCATGCAGAGAAAGTGACTGCCTTGGCGGTCGTGCACAGGTGTTCTTTGGGGCCATTGCGACATTCTGTTGAATTTGAACCCAGGCCAGGCCAGGCCAGCGATACCGTACGGCTGACCGCCGCCAGGCCCGAGGCGCAAGGCAAGGCAGCAGCAATCAAAGAGCGTGCGAGACTCACCAATATCGGCACTTGATCCTGCGATGTGATGGGTCGCGCGTGGAGCAACGGGATTTCGGATTGTTGTGTGGTTGTGGTGGTGACCAGTTCAGAGGCGGCACTCAGGTTGCGACCAAGCACCAGGGTCCAATAATGAGTGGAAAGAACAACTTGCTTGCGAGGCCACCCGATTTGGACTAGCACTGAAAGTGCGCTAACGAAAGGATGGCTCCCGCTGCCCTCTCACCGTCTCTCCAGAAATGCGCTCTGGCCTGCGTTCAATACTGTCCGACCGTCGACGTCGCAATCATCAACCGCGTTCTTCGTGGACGGCGTTGATGGGCAGCACTGGCGCATGGTCGACACCGACACGTCAGATTTGGAGCGCTCCGATGCTCAAAGGGATGCCATCGACGCGACCAGTGCACAATAAGCGATGCTTTGTACCCCCAAAGCTGTGCGAAGGTGATGCACATGAAACCCGCAGCATTCACTCACCGCAGGCCTATTTCACGTGCCCACACGCGCCTGCACGTTTCTGTCCCGAATGCTTCCCTTTCTGCTGCCCCGTACTGGCTTTGCATGGATCGCAAGAGCCTGAGAATCTCCCATTTGTTGGTCATGAAACCGTGACCTGGTCTTTTCACGCAGCGGTGTCACCCACACCGCTTTTCACTGCACGCACTTTCCATATAACTACACGCCTTCCTCTCACTCCCTCATCATGTGTATCCTTAATTTCCTACCTTCAGAAGCTGCTGCAGGTCCAGCATGCCGTCGAGATCTGCTGTCTATTCCTCAATCGCAACCCAGGCTCCCAGGCCATTCTTCGGACCACCTCGGCCGCGGCCACGAGTCGCCCTGCTTCAACTGCAGAAAGAGTCCTTCTTCGATGATCAATATGCAAGACTTCTGCAAGGCTTGAAGGCCAAGGCAGACGTCGATACCATCACCTCAAGGTCCGCAGCAAGCGCATTGTTCAACAGCAAACATCGGCCTGTCGTCCTTGCAACCGACCAGGTAGGTTCTCAACGTTGTGCGTGGCCTCACGCCTTGAGTTCCCATTCGCGTCTTCATGCAGAATCGTGCATTGTTGTCGTTGCTGCATGATAGGCTGCCAATACAATGGCATGATTTCAGGACCCTGTCTAACACATCCCAGGCCTTAACTGAATCCAAGAACTCCACGCTGTGCGGCGAAGCCAGTAATTTCGTTCGAAGTGGTGGCACGCTCGTTTTCTGCTGTCATTTCCCAAGTTACTCCCAGCAGTCAGATGTCGACAGACTCTTCTCCAAGTTCGACCTATCATGGGAGTGCGGCGACTATCATCGCACGGAACACAACCTCAACGACTATATGGCTCGGGTTGACACCACTGGCTTGATATCGCACTACAGCCAGAAGGCCTTGCACCTGCAGAATGTCAACAGATCGGACGCCGTCTACCTTCCTTCCAACACGTCGCATATCGAATCATCAGTCTTTCCGCCTTCGCCGATCGAGGATCTCAGCCAAACACCAGCTGCATTTACGGCATGTGGACGCGGCAAAGTAGGGTATCTTGGCGATGTTAATGCTGAAGACGCCACACACAACGTCGTCCTTGCTATGTGTGGCCTGCGTTGATCTCGCATCGCGTTTAGAATGTGCCAAGGCTTTCCATCGCTAAGCGTGGACTGCTGTGGCCTCGAAGGTTACCAGCTGGGTGTACGCTTCAGAGCAAGTCCCGTGTGTACGTTTACCCGTCGCCGTTCATTCTGTGACCATATCGCGACTGGACGTAAGACACGTGTACCGCACGAGGATGCATACTCACCTCGAGATCGTCTTCTGACGGGCTTGCAGCGAGGATAAAAATTGCAAATTGGGAGGACTTGCATTGTTCAAATTGGAATAGATAGACATTTGCCTCACTGGCCGGATATGAATGTAAAACAGCCTAGTAGCGAAGCGAACTTCTATGCTGATTGCACCTCACCATGTCTTGCCTGGTAATGACGTCTGGAGACCGAGGCGGCATAATTCACGTGATCAAACGCAAAAAGAGAGATGTGAGACAGAAGATTGGATGACTCGAGGCTCTATTGTCTACTCAACCAGTAAAGGCGAGCAGCTCCGACTATCAACGGGGACAGCTACACGCTCGATGAAGCCCATCCAACCCAGATGCATGCATGCATGCTCGTGAAAGAAAGCGTGTGTGCATCTAGTAGAGACGCTTCGGCGGGGACATGCTGGCCTTGATGGTCAAGCTGCCCACGTTCTGCCAGCCCTTCTTCAGCAGGGAGACGAGGTAGTTGATAGCCAACATGATGTTGCCGATCAGCTCATCCTCGGTCATGTCCACATTTCCCACGGCGACGCCCATGCACAGCACCTTCTTCAGCTGGAACTTGATGGTCGACTTGACTTCGGTGATCTTGCCGGAGAGGTCGTCGGCGTGGGAAACTGGAGTTGGGAACTTGCCGGCTACGTGGTTGTTAGCTATTGCGATCGAGGCACGACCGAAGTAGATTTGCGCTTACCCTTGGATAGACCTGGACCCAAGAGACGCGGGATCTGCTTGATGAGGGAGTCGGAAGCGATGAAAGCATCGTATTTGCGTGCGAGCTTCTTGATGAGCTTCTTGTTCTTGTTGAGCTTCTTCAGATCGTCCGAGGACATGGCGTCGACACCACCGTGCTTAGCACGATCGATATCGTGCTGGTCACCGAGAATGCAGATGCTCATGTTTGGGCGCGGGACCTTTGGGAGCTTGACAGTTCCAGAGAAACGCTTGTCACGCTGTGGGTCATAGTTCTTGAGGCCGATCTGGAGCTCGACGGTCTCGAGGAAGTTGCGCTTCTTCTCCTCGTTGGAGTACTTGAGCAGTTCTTGTACGTTCGTACGCACACCGGCGACCGTGATCTTCGACATGCTTGCGGTCTTCCAATTACTCGCTGACAGTGGCAATTGGTGTGGCTTTGCGTAGGTCCGTAGTTGCGATCGTCCGATGTGACGGTGGTGGTGGTTTGGATTGGATGCAAGAAGGATGGCGGGTGCGAAGTGGCGGACGGTATTTTGAGTGCCGCTGACTAAAGTGTCGTGGGGTCTTGGCGCTTGCATCTCGGCATGACTCAGCAAGATCGATGACCACTTCCGCAGCATATTGCTGGCCGTGACTGGACCTGCAGCTGCTCACCCGTCTCAGCTTGGCCTCCAGCACATGATATCTGTCTCAGCGTTGCCCCATACGCCGCGCACCATATGCTGCATGATACCTCCACGCCTTTGTCGGTAGCAGTACACTGTGTCACAGCTGCCCGACAGCATGACAGAGGCATGGTCATTGGCACTGCTTGCCGGGCATAGAAGTATGCTCGGCAATCCCGTCCGTCCATGCATCCCGTCACTCCTCCATGAATTTCTTCGGAGATGGAGCACCCGGACGGCACAGGATCGGGAGATATTGCAGATGCACAGACATACTACTTGTCTGTGGGAGATGTCGATGTGCAGCGCTCTTTCCGTTGCATGGACAATCCATCGAATTTGGACGGCCTGATGCAAGCGGTGCAGACGCACACCGCAAGAAGCTTCATCGTCGACTTCTCTGACGATACCGCTTGGGCAGCTTTCGATCTATCCGTCCAGAGCATTGCGAGATTGCTCGAAGCCCCTCGACCTTCAAGTATTAGCAGCCGCTGGATAAATCTCTGGTATCCATTCGCGCATGTGCCGGTGCTTGAAGAACTGGGCAAGCGATACGACTTCTCGCCACGGCTCTTAGCTCTGATCTGCTCCGATCCAAAGCAGCCAGCATACTCGCAATCAAGGACGATACTCTCCAAGCAGGTGAGAAAGAGATCATTATGGGGTCGAAAGCTCGTCACCTTCGAAATTAAAGATCCGGAGGTGGAAAAGCTTGCCAATGACGAGCTTTCTGAGCATTCTTCCATCACGAGCAAGGCCTCCAGTGTTCGCGGTAACCTGTACAAGATCGCATCAGACATTTGGCATTACTCTTCGGTGGACTTTGGACGAAACTATGTGTGCTTAGGGTTCAACTCACTCTACGGCAACAAGACGGCGAACTCGAGTCACTCCGATGCTGGAAGCTCGATTAGTGATCACCCATTGCTTCCCCAATGCACACGTGTGTGGACCTGGCTTTTGCTGTGTGAAGATAACACGGTGATCTCCATCCACGAAGACCCTTTCCCATACGCAAACGGGCACTTTACCTCCCTCCAACGCCGGATCCTCACAGAGACAAGAAGGAATCTAGTCAACGTCTTTCGATCTTTATCCACAGTGACATCCGCGCCTCTTCTTGCACACAACCCTCTTACCCTGCTCCCGATCCGCACACGCATAGGCAGCACGCCCGAAGAAACCGCCCATCGCGAATCTGACGCCCCGGGGCTGCTCTTCTACTACCTGTTCGAAAACTGGCACAACTCCTATACCCTCATCGCCCGCAAGGAGTCCCGCTATGGCGTCGAACTCTCCTCACTGCGAGAATCAATGTTCCAGCAACCTACACTCGAACACATCGACCGCCTTGACAGCATCGGAAAGGAATTAGGTGTTCTTCGCAGACATTACGAGAGTTACAACAGGATCATAGATCGTCTGATTGAGCCTCAACCCGCGACTCTGGCCTCTCTACAAAACAGCCAGGTGGTCGGTAGCGAGGACTCTGCGTCCCTAAACACAATACGCGCAGGCCCTGGGGGCATCATTATTCGCGAGAAGGACAGCTTGTTGGGCGTGAGCCTTTCGTCGGCTGCAAGAGTTCGGTTCAAACGTCTACGAGACCTGATCGATCTGTACGCACTTTCTGAAGTCGAGGAATACTTGAAGCAGAAGGATTCTTTGGTTTCGATGGCAAGTTCATCTCCTACCTTCCTGCTCAATGCTCGCAGCAGTCCGGAGCTGATGTTCAGATTAGAACTTTAGCCTCATTGCTATCAAACAATCTCTGGATGTCGACCGTTTGACGCGCATCACTTTGCTTTTGACGAAAGCTACCATTCTTTTCCTGCCGGTCAGCTTCATGACCGGATACTTTTCTGTGCCGTTGGATGATATCAAGTACTCTGCGAGGACGTTTTGGATTGCGTTTACTGTGATTGTAAGTCCGTTGTGCTACTCGAATTAGACTTGCGCTTTACTGACGCATGGGACAAACAGTTCTTCCTGTCGTATCTGGCATTGTTCCTTTTCGGCGCTATGAATGGAAGTCTGCAAACGATGAACGTAATCGAAGGCATATGGAAGAGCGTTGCATCGACTTGGACGGGCGTCATTGCCATTCATCGTCGACGCAAGGCAAATGGTAAAAAACTTTGAGAGACGAATGCAAAGCCGATCAAATCTCGGACTACATAGAATCGAAAACAGATTGAAGCAGGAGAAAATACGACTGGACCAAACCACGCTTACCTTAGGATGTTTTCGAAGAGCGAGCTCCCTTCAATACCGATCCACGCTTACACAGCACTACCCTACCTAGCAAACGTCCTGCCCAAAGCCTCAATGGAATCCACAATCCTCTTGAACTCATCCCTCTGCTCAGCAGCCAACTCATTGATCCTCTTCGCAGCGGGGTCCTCATCTGCGGTTTCCCCACTGAATATCGAAAGTCGTGAGGTCGAGTGTGGCGTCTAAGCCGTATACGTCTTTGCTCGGATGAGATGGAAAGCCGCGAAGCGCGGAGACGAGGCTCATGAGTTCGTTGACATCGTCCCTGGTGACCAGAGTCAGCATCTATTGAGTAATAGAGGTGGGATCATCAATACTGACTTTGGAACATCGCCAGACTTCTCTGAAGACTTGTTGTTGCCATTTTATTGAATCATGCGGATTGATGCTGGCCTGTTTGGCTCGCCGAGAACTTCGACTGAGTGAGCTGAGTGAGTTGGTGCGCCTTAGATTATTTCGATCAGTTCCTCGGACTCTTTGTATCGATATCGCGGGTAAGGTGTTCTATATTCCTACCACTGAATGGCTTCTGAATTCGCCTGATGGTGGTGGAGCTACTTGACGTGGCATGTTTGTGAATCTTTCGAATTATCGTGTGTTGTTGGGAACGGATTTCTGCTCGATCGACAAGCGGCAGCTGTTGATGTGTTTGAATTTTGAATTTTGAATGTGAGCAGCTCTGGATGTCATAAAAGTGCTTTGGAGGTTATGCAGGTCCAAGAACTTGAAGTCATGGCGGAGTATAGCGTCATGGTGGCATACGGTGCCTCATAATGAAATGAGTTTCTGTCGAGTCTGTTGAGCACTTCATTGAGATGTGACGCGATCTGAGCTGCCAACCAATTTCTCCAGAATGCATGGGTAATTACATAGGTTCGACGACGAGAACGGAGATGGACTTTCGACATGTATGATGCAGGGTATCAACTTGTGGCTTCAATACAGGATATCTGATTGTGCCGTCGTGTCTAATAGCACCATTTGTGACCAAGAACTTCGTGAAGATTACCAGTGTCCCTAGAATATGGTTGTCATAATTCGTGCTTTTGGCCTGTTCTCCATAAATGCCACCAACAGTCGCAATTGAGGTCATTAAGTGCCAGTCTCGGTTTCCTGCAAGCGTCATTAGCAACGAATGAACGACAATGTCGTGATTGGGACATTGACTCACCACTCCAGGCTGTCTTCCGTCAAGACCACCAGTGATCTTGCCCTTGAGCTTCCTAGCGCCAATTATGGCCTCATCCTTTGCGAACTTGAAGTTGCGAGCAGGTTTCCATTGCATGAGACCACGTTGCTTGCGCTTCTCGGTCTTCTTGTTTTGTCTGTTGACATCTTTCTGTGACATGGCGGTATCAGAGGTGCCGGTGGTGCCTGCAGTCCAGCCGGATTCCATAGTACCAATCGATTGACGTCCGTCGACTGAGCCACGACCGGTGTTGGTGGCATCGACAATGCCCAGATCAGAGTCATCATTGTCGTCCTCATCCTCTTCGGCAGTGAAGCCATCATTATCCGTATCCTCGTCAGGCTGGAGAGGCAGGTCACGACCAAGCTCGCGGCGCTTCTTGCCGTCTTGGTCCATGTACTTGGCCGGATCATCACCGAAAGCACCAGACCAGTCAGTGCCGGTTTTGGCTAGCCACTTCTTCTTTTCCTCTTCTGGCGCCTCCTTCAGAACATCGCGGCCTTCCGTCAGGGACTCATCGTGAAGTGTTTGAACACGTTCAGGAAGCTCCTTCTCGACAAGCCTTGTCCGCACACCTTCGGCCAGACATGCCTCCCAAGTCTCGAATGTCTCTCGCGAGTTGTTATCTGCAACGAAAGCCTCGTGAGACTCGTCCATGCCTGCCTTGAATCGACCAGTGAATTGGAGTCTTCCAATCTCCTTCAAATCATCAAGGCCCGGCAGCTTGTCCTGTGCAATGATTTCGGGTGTGATGTAGTTCTGAGTGAGGCGTGCTGGTGCCGCAGTCTGATAGATCGGGATATCAACCTCTTGATCCTCGTTGTCGACCAGCTCATGCAACCAGAGAACAGCATAGCCATCGGCCTTCCGCTTGTTCGCGATGTGCATTTCGAACACAACAGGAGAGCGGTAACGGTACTTGACAGGAAGTCTGATCGGTTTGCCTTCTGGGTCAGCTTTTGTGAGATCCCAGTAGTAACCGGTTTGTCCTTCTTCGAGCTGGTGGCAGACACTGCGGCTGATTTTCCCAGAAGAGCCACCTGTTCGCATCTTGATTCTAGCATGATGCGTGTAGCCAGGCGCCTTAATGTTTTGGGACGTGAACATGAATGTACCGACATCCCAGCCGAGTTGTCGCGGTGGCAGACGAGTCTCGACGGAGCGGAAGAGGAGAGAGATGCGAATGCGACCAAATCCGATACCGCCATCGAGCGGGTACCATCTTGTGACTTGGCTACTGGTCTCGAGGATGTCCGACAGCTTTAGAGGGACCACACCCAGTATCGGATCGTGCTGACGATTGCGGCTATCGCGAACAGTCACAGTGATGATAGCACTGCGCCAGTCGCGCACAAAGCGCTCGGTTCCAGCGTTGAAGATGGGCTTGCTGCTCACAGCCTTGGCTCTGGTGCGGTAGACAAGTTCATCGTTGTACAGAATGGTGCAATATGAGGTTGGAAGGTCGCCACCCTCTTCTTCAGTGGCCTCGCCGTAGGGCTTTGCGGGCTCATACTCACGACCGTTACGAGTGCCTGTGGTACCTTTCACGTTCTCCAGCTCCAAGTTGACAATCTGGTGAATGATGATCGAGCAGACACCACTCGGCCAAAGGGGATCTGGTGGGGTGTGCTGCACAGCATCGTCGGTAGCAGTGTTTTGCACACCCTTCTCATCTTGAAGCTCCGGGTGGTCCTTGAGGTTGTCAGGCAATGCCTTGTTTTTGCCATCAGTCCGCAGAGCTGGGCGAAATTGAGGCTTGCCGAAGAAGCCAACTTCCCAGTGAAGCTCGCCAGGCATTTCTGAACCTTCATCCATGCCAGCTAACTTGGAAACTTGTGGGTACATCTTGCCTGGATGCTGAATCATCTTTTGCATGCTCAATTCGACTTTTCCGACGATGTCGTCTGCGGAGTGGCGATCACTGTCCCAAAGCTCTACGCTCAAGTTCTCGTCGGCCTTGATCAGCTCAGGCGTCACCAGAAGTGCTGTAGTCTCTTCCCAGATTGGATTGAGGTCGTCTGTGATTACACGTGTGCAATACATTGGCTTGCCGTACTTGCTGAAGGTAAGGGTGATATATGGATCGGATCCGCCCCATTTGGAGCCACGCTTGTCTTGCTTGCTGAGGCCGATGGCTTTATGGATGCGAATCCAGAGAACCCCTAGTGCCTGTACATCCTTGGTAATATCATCCCCTTGCAGCATGGCTCGCATGTCGATGGACATGGACTTGGGTGCAACGTACATGCTCGCTGCCGCGCCGATGGCATAGTTAACGAACTGAGAAATCAAGGGCAAGTTGAGGAGATTAACACCCTTCTCGACCATTGGTATACATCCAGCTGCAACGTGCGGTACGCCCATCAGGGTGAAAGTGAGCGTCTTCAAGAAAGGCGGCTCTGGTGTCATGGCCATTCGTAGGCGCACTGTGCCGACCAAGCTTTGAAGCTCTACGAAGATCGGGAGCGGTACGCCGAAGAGACCTTTGATACCAAGATAGAAAACAAGCTGCATGTGCATGTTCCTGGCCTTGTCGCTCGCACGCTTGCCACTAGGTTCTGCGTGGTATGCGAAGCTGATTTCGAGATTGTAGTAGTCGCCGCCTTCCTCATCAGCAGCAGCTTCTTGTGGGTCCTTGCTCTTCTTGTTTTCCTCATGAATAGCTTGCTTGACATCCTTCATATGGTCGTCAGGAAGCGCCCTCAAGCTGAGGATTCGAATTGGGTTGCTGCCCTGGTTGATCTCGGCGACGCGAACGTTTTCGATGATACCAGGCACTGAAGCTTGCATCACGTCCTCCAGAGTATCGGCGACAGCTGTGAACATGTCAGGGTTGACTAGACCCCACACGATCCCGAGCAGTGTGTTCATCCATTCGACGCTCTCGGGCAGCAAATTAGCGGTGGCAGTCTTGCCACGCTCCTTCTCGGATTCCCATTCAACCTCTCGACCGGACCGAACGAGCTCTCTGATCCAGAGCCAGATGCCACTAGCTATGCATCCGGCCAGAGGGATCATGCCAATGTAGCGGCCGCCGAATGTGCGGCCCAGGATGACGATAGCGAAGAAGACGCCGACCACGAGCCATAAGCCTCGCTCTTCCAGTCTCGCAAATGTCGGCTCGTAGCTAACGCTTGGTGTCGGGTGAAAGAGGATGTTCGTCTTCTCGCCATGAATGGGAACATCGCTGGTGGAGCCCTCAGCGATGGGGTCTGGAGGGGCTGTGATGTCCTGCTTCTCTTTGTATTCTGGGTTCTTTTGCGAGGGATCAGTTTGCACTGTTGTGTCTCTGCCCAGGTTCGCATTGGGCACAGAAAGTGAGGGATTCTTGGCTCGCTCAATAAAGGCATCGTTTACATCCTCGATGACGACCTGTTTCCCGGTTGTCGGATCTGTAACTGTCTTGCCTTTGGTTGATTTCTTCTCGTTCCGATGAGGCTGCACATCTGAGCCGACTGTGCCCTGTTTCTGCTCATCAATCTGTCGATCTCGGTCCTTCTTGTCTTTGTCCAGACGCTCAATGAATTGTCCGACTGTTGGAATCTTATTCTTGCCAGAGTACACGCCGCCGGGAGCAACGTGCTGTTGCTGTTGCTGTTGCTGTTGCTGTTGCTCAGGATCCGCCATGTTCTCGCTCAGTCGCGACTGCGATGCGCTCCAGTGTCCTTATGCCCGCGCAGGTGCCCAGGAGGTGTTGTATTGGCGTCAAGTCAAGGGAAGAGAAGGACATAGGGACGAGGAAGAGGAAACTCGTGTGCACATGTCATATGGACAGGCAATCATGGCTGGGCTTGGCTTGGTGCAACTGCACGACGAGCCACCAACCAAGGCACAAACACAAAGCGGCACATATTCTTGTGCCATCTCGCAGGAGAAGGCAAGGCGCGCGTAGCGATATGCAATCGTGACGTAGTGTGGCAGGAACGAGCCGCTTTGTGGCTTTGAGCTGTTGCGAGTTCCAGAAGCTCCGTTCAAACACCTCCCTCCCTTTCCCTTCCATTATTCACTCCATCATCTGGACAAGCCCAACCTTGAAGCCTTGGCAACGACGAGATACGCCTTCGCTTGCCCTCTCAATATCGCTAGGCAGTGCTCAGCTTGGGCGTTGAGGCCGTCATCTAAGGTCTAAAACGCAACGCGTCGATATGCATAGAGAGTCGCTCAAATGCTGGACAAGACCAAGAGCATTTTCAAGTCCGCTTTTCATCATCACCATCACCATCATTGTCATCACCATCACCATCATTGTCATCATCATCACCACCATCACCATCATTGTCATCGCCATCACCATCATTGTCATCATCATCATCACCTCGTACCGTCGTCAACGCTTGTTCTCGTCAATTGTAATTTCGTGCCTGCGTTGCGGCATCGGCATCCCTGGCTGCGACATTGTCTCGCGCCGTCTGAGCCAGAGTGTTCGCTTGTGTTTGCGCTTTCTGAGCGTCAAGCTGCTTGCCGAGCTTTCCCTTGCCTTGCGAAGCTTTGAGCCGTTCCTGAAACGCACAGTTATATGTCAGCTCATGCTCTGGCTGAGGCGATCGTGTTGACGCAGATGCAGGTGACCATTCGACTGCCAGCTGGGCTGGTTGTGGGCTTTGTGGAAGTGGTTGTAGAATGTATTGAACGCACCTCTGCTGCTCTTGCTGCTGCTGCGCCAGGGCTGTCCGACTCATTGGGAGCTTGCGGATTCTTCCCTAAGACCCGCCCTCCTTCTGGCGAGCTTATCTTTGGCGCCGCGGCCGTACGCGCTTTGGTTCCCGATGTCGAGGTGTTTGCAGGTGTTGCACCGAGCGTGCGTCCTTGGCCACTGAAGTTGGCATCTGAGCTTTCCTTGCCGAAGCAATTGCCCATGCTCGGAGAGGTCGATAGGGTACGAGCGGATGGAGGTACGTTCGCGAGATTGACTTCTGAGCTCACTGGGTGTGGTGGGATACGAAGGATACAGTAGGAACATCGATGCAATGCCAGCCAGTGCCAATGCCACGCCACGCGTCTTGGTCTCTGAGACACGTGAATGCCCTGCCCTGTGCATGGCGGCGGCGGGGAGCGAACACGTGCATCGGAAGCTACCGCGGGCTCACAGGACCTTATCACGCAAGGATTGTCATTGTATGCGGCAGGGCGACCATCAAGGTGGTTTTCAGATGCGCTCTGCGTGGGATGCCGCCTCGCCTCCTCCAAGCATGACCATGACCATGCCATCAAGGTGCAACAATACAATACCTTTACTGGAAGCTGGAGGGGCTTTTCGACGTCAGACCGACTGGAAGACTCCTCGCAGACATCGAGGCCATGAGCATTGCTTGAAGAAGCATCAATACGATGACCCGCTTTGAAGAGAGCGCGCTCCGAGACAGCGCGACCAACCCATCGGCGCTGCCTTACTGGCATCCACGGAGCCACTTCTCGTGCCTGATCAATCCACAGCACGACGATGGCGACCTCCACGCATCGGGAAGCAGCGACGCGGCATTCGCTCCACTGGGCAGCGACGACCTGCACCCGGAGTTGTTGCCAGACTTCTGCAGCTCCGCGATGGCAATGTCGCCGCCGCCTCCGCCGCCGCCGCCGCCGCCGCCTCGGTACCACGTCAAGACACCGACGGGAGCGCGATGCATGCGGAGACCCGGCCTTGCGGGAGCACCGGCGCTCGTGAACGGGCAGTACCTGTGCCACTGGTCGGTCGACGGCATTGCCTGTCGCCACAAGTTCATCGACGCCAAGTCACTGAACGACCACATTCGCTCTCACCACGTTCGAGGCGCGGCCTCCTTCGTCTGCCAATGGAGCGGCTGCGACAAAGGCAGCTTTCCCACCGCCAACAAACTCGTGAGGCATGTCCACAGCCACACCGGCTACAAGCCCTTCCCCTGCCCCAGCTGCACGCACGCCTTCGTCACCAAGGACCAACTCGACAAACACCTCACCACCCACACCGGCGCCAAGGATTTCGTGTGCAACTGGCCCGGCTGCGGCCGATCGTTTGCCGTCAAGCACGCCCTGGACGGTCACATGAACAGCGTGCATCTCAAGGCCAAGAAGCACATCTGCCCCTACTGCACGCAGGCATTCGACGACTCGTCGAACTTGTCGAAACACAAGAAGCAGGTCCACAACCCGGACACGGGAATCAAGTGCCCCGCGCGCAGGACGCATGGCTGCACATATGTCGACAGCCGCAAGGACAAGATGAAGGAGCACTGTGAGCGCGAGTGCCACGGCCTGGAGACCGTCACCGATCCACACGCGTGGAACTTGTGGCTTCAGCAGTTCAAGTCAGCGTCGAGAAAGGCCGAGTCTCGTCGCTCGTCTTCCCGAAGTGTGTCAAGCACGCCCATCTCACGCGCTTCGAGTCTCAGCATATCCTCATCAACGCCCTTCTCGTCGGCGTCGCTCCTTCGACCACCGTCCATCGAGTGCAGCAAGCAAGGTTGCAACATACCTGTATGCCTTCCGTGCAATATCTTATGCAACGATTTGTTCCCTGCTCATGACGCCTTCCAGCCGTGCGACGACGCAGGATGTGATCCCTGTGATCCATGCGACGATGAGGACTGCGATCCTACCACTCGTCAACCGTGCAATATCCAGCCTTGCACGATACCGCACTGTCGAAGTGGTACCACTACGCCTTCTCAACCACCGACGCCCCATGGCCCTGCAAAGATGCCTTTCTACTCCTACCATGGCATAAGTGGTGCCACGGAACCAGACCCATTCCAGGATGCGGAACATCCTTTCCAGCTGAATGAAAGCCAGCTGAACGATTACATGTTTATGAACCAGTGAAGCCCCTAGTTGCTGAACGAAAGCTGCTGCTTCGTATCACTCGGCACTTGTGCTAAAGCTTACATCACAATGCCCATCTGGCCGCGAAAGATAGAGGATATTGTGCGCAGGTGGGAAGACGGACGCATGGTAGAGGCGGCGGAAGCTTTCTCGCCACGAGCATGCGAAACTACTTGATACCCATTGATAATGATGCAAGGACTTGCCAAGATAGAGCAGATGATCGACGCACGTAGATGCCACAATTTGCCGCCATCTCGACGCCTCCTTCTTGTTTTTGCCACGAAGCTACCGTGATTCCTCATCAAACCACAACTCCCGCAGCCCACTCCCTCGAAAAATTCCCACAACCAGGCAATTTATTGCCAATGGTTTCAACCCTAGTAATCCACTTCCCCCGATCAACCGTGCGCTCCCCATACCATTTCCTCCGGTAAGCCTTGCTCGAAACCTCTTCCAGTCGTGCAGGATGATGACTATATTCGATGGATCGAACGTCCTCGGTCTTTTGAGTCGTTTCTCTCCTAGCCCTTGCAAAGCCGCTCGATTCCCACGATTGCCTTCCCAGGCACATTTTGTCATCCGGAGAGTCAAACATTCGCGGTAGTTTCTTGCATGACAAGCAAGGACTGTGAATAGCGGGGTGAATTCCAAATCTGGTGCAATGTCAGCAGCAGAATGATAGTGCCATAAGGAAAGACCACATTCCTTCCCAGGACAAGCTAGCATTACTCTGATTCCTCATTGATCTCCGTTATCACCATCCTCGTCGCTCTCACTCTCACTCGCTTGATCATCCACTACAAATCCCCTATCCAACCCGCACCTCTGCGCAACCTCTTTGGCCCATTTCGAAAGATCAGACTCGTTCCTAGGATAGAAACTGATGGCCAACAAGTCCTCTATCCTTTGACGACCTCGTGCAAACCCACCTATCATCAGCCAAGACACGGAAAATGAGCGGTCTAGCTTCCCTCATCAACCCCATATTGACCTCCATCAGCCGATTGACAATCTTGCTACAATTCAGATCGATGAATCGAATGGGTCTCAGTTCCAATCTCATAGATTCTTGATAAGTCTCGGTGCTTCGAATCGTATGAGTATTCCACTTATAGGGAAAGTCATGTCTAGGTTTCGGAAAGATCCTGCAACGGCATAGAACAGACAACACACAACATCAGTATTGCGTTCTTCAGTAGCAGAGGGAAGTGCATGATTGCCTTCATTACAGCTCCCCTCATGCTCCAAAGTTGCCATATGGATACCGCCGTCTGATGCTAGTTCAGCTCGAAAAGGTTCGTAGCGATCGCCCAGCGCAGTAGCAGGAAGCAAAAAAACATAAGAAAGCACGTTGTTTGATCTGCTCAAAGGCAGAGTGCTCACCGCATTCACACCGTGATGATCGTCGTCTCGCAATGGCTGGCTGGAGGAACCCAGAAAGCCGAAATCGTGGAGCTCGAGAAGATAGGGCTGAGAGGATGGGTCTCAGGACTGATCTACCAGGAGGATCCAGTATCAGCGTGAAATTTCGAATCGGATATTGCTTTACATTGCATCTGCAATATGGTGAGCGAGTCGTCTCGCCGCGGAGAAAGGCTCTATTCGCATCTAGGAAGTCGTTCCAATTCTCTACGAAGTGCCATGGATATTTCCACTCGTCTTTGTCGGAATGCTTGGTTCCCCCCGCCTTCGAGCTTTTGCAGCAACAGGCTCCCTTCATTGGGCAACGATGCTGCTGAGATTATCGATGGGTGGAGAGGAGGAATCATGCTTTTTCTCTGATGCTGCGCAGATTGCTTGTGGATGTCCCCTTTCAGGGCCACATGGGCAAGCAAACCTGTCGCAGATGGGTCCTTCGCGAAATCGAAGCCCGCGATGATGCCGTAAACACTGTTCGGATACTTGGTTCAGTGTGACTGCCAGCCTCCTATCTCTTTCCCTCATCTTCTGCGCTGGCCGTATAATGAGAAATGGAAACAGTAACAGCGAAGGAAGGGTAGCGGCGCCCTTAGTAAGACGTTATTGGTCATGTTCACTTCGCAAGCTTGTGGCGGATAACAGCGGCGTCAAGGAACGTGGACGCGCTTGGCCCAGCAGCCTTTTGTTCGTCATACGTGCAATTTGGGTATCTATACATTGGACCGACATCTACAGCTCAATCAAACTTTCCTCTTTGACTTGTGGCGCATGTTGCGGTGCCGACGGAAACGCCTCTTGTCCATAGCCACCAAGAGCTGCAGGCGCTTGAGGCCATTGCTGCTGAGGAGCCCGTTGTCTTGGCGTCTGCTGGTGGTAATGCTGCTGCGAAGGTTGTCTTTGCAGAGGAGGTTGTTGTGGTGCCTGCTGGGGATATGATTGAGGAGGTATTGACTGTTGCTGATGAGGCGGCTGTTGGTATTGCTGAGGAGGTGGTTGGTGATACATCTCGGGGCTTGGCGGCGGCTGTTGCTGTTGCTGCTGGGACGGAAGTGCTTGTTGATGTGGCGCCGATGTGGGAGGCTGTTCGCCGTAGTAGAAGTTGGCATTGGGATCTGCGGGAGGGGAGGAGACAGCTGGATTTGACTGCTGAGAGCTATGGCTGTGCGCATATTGTGAGTTGGTCTGCGGATGATATTGCGTGGAGGGGCGTCGTTGAGGCTGCTCAGGAGGTGGTTGATGCTGCTGTTGATATGGTGTATGAGCCGGCGGCTGCTGCTGCTGCTGTTGCTGCTGCGGAGGTTGGGGTTGAAGAGGATAGCCTTGCTGCGGCTGTTGGTAATATGACGCTTCAGGCGGAGGTGGACCATGCGAGGAGACGCGCTGCTTGTCAAACGAAGGGTAGGGAGCGGATGGTTGTTGGTAAGCGCCATATGCTGCCTGAGACGGTGGCGGAGCATAGCCATCCATCTGCGGGGCATTCCCGGTGTAGTAGCTCTCGACACCGCTGGGTCCATCAGATGCAGCAGACGGTATGTTTGGGTACATGCTCGTCCGCTGTGGAGCACCGTACCTGCTCGATGTATAGGCACTTGCCATGCGTTCTTCCAGCATCCGGTCATAATAGCGTACTACTGTTGCCAATTTCGAGTGCAGATCTAGCAGGGTGTCATGTTTGCTCATGGTCTCCCCATATGTCCTGGCCAGTTTGGGGCGCAAGGTGCCTATGCTTTCGTACAGCTCCTGGATTTGAGGTTCTCGCAGTATGGTGCCAGGCGGCTGGTGCTGTAGACGATCTACAAGCGTGGCAAATAGATTGATGTTCTCAGCCTCCACAGGCGTCAACTCAAACTGGTTGTTGGGCTTGTATTGAGATGCAGCTGCAACGGGCGAAGAAGCCTGTTCCTTGAGCTCCTTCGCATGTCGCTTCTTTTGCTCCTCCATATCCTGCATGCTCGCCGCAATGGCCGCCTTGAGATCTGCATCCTCCTCCTCTGCATCCTGCTTCGGCGCGCTCTTGCTGTTTCCGTTGGTCTGCGGCTTCGGCGTAGGCAGCTGCGACTGCGACTGCGGCACGTATCCTGCTCCCGCGTGACCCTTGCTCTCCTCCAAGCTCATCTCCAGCGCGCGCTTCAAGTCGGCATCGAAGCTGTCCTCTGTCACGCGAGCACCTCTTGGCTGCATTCGTTCTGAGCCACTCCGACCCATGCCAGAGTCCTGCCAGAGGGTCCTCTTCGCACCTGCCGGGCTCTGCGGCGCTGGCGCCAGCGCGGCGCGGCTCTTCTCCGTAAGCTTCACGTAGCAGCCATCATCCACTCGCACCGGCTGCATGATTCCCAAATGTGGCAGTGGCAGGCTCTTGCTCGAACATGTGCCGCAGAAGACACCGCCGCAATTTCGACAGTGGTGCTTGCGGTTTGTGAAGGTGAATTTCTCGCGACATCGCAGACAGACGTCGCTGTCCGTCCACTCGGGCGGGGCAGAGGAGTCGAACATGCTGCTGGCGACGTCCTGCTTGGGCGGAAAGTGGAAGCCTTCGTACTGCAGCGAGCGATAGGTGTCGGAGATGTAGGTCAGGCTTTCGCGGCCCTGGGCAGCTGCGGCCCAATTTTGGATGAGCTCGAGGATCTTGGCTTTCACGTCGGCGTTGGTTTCGGCGGAGGTGTAGGCGTAGCCAGCGGCCTTGAGGATGCTGGTCAGATTGTCCATGAACTCTCTGCTGGCAATCTCGGCCATGAAATGCGAGCCGCCATTCTTGACGCATGTGTCTGTCAGATTGAGCGCGGCGAGCTGCACGTTGGGGTTCTTGTTGCCGATGCGGCGCTTTAGGCTGCGCATGGCCTCTCGCGGCTGCACCGTCTTGCTGCGGATGACATCGCTGATTTCGAGGTTGAGCGCGATGTCCTCGAGCGAACTGGATGTCGCTCGTTCGATCTGCGCATCGAGCTCGCTGTTTGCCGCATTTCCAAACCAGGACGCCATCCTCAAGCAGCTTTATCCCCGGCGGCAGCTTGATGGGATGGATGTGTCGAAGGGCGGGACGTGGAGGTGCACAGGGCTATGGCGAGGACTACAGCTGGAGAGGAGGCAAACACCAGCTGCCAGTGCTCCCATCGGCGTCGTGCAGTCGGTAGCGGGGAGGCGTATCAACGAGCGTCTGTTCGGGCCAGGCAGTCACGGCTGCTGGTTGGATTGTGGGTAGAGTAGTTGTTGTGTGAGAGCGTGGGAATGGAACAGGAACAGGAATAGGAATTCTCCGTAGCAGCAGCGGCGGCAGCGGCAGAGGGGCATGGCATGTCAGCGACTGAACCCTTGTCCTTGTCCTTGTCGCATGACGTGAATCGGCTCAGGCTCTCAGCAGTAGTCAGGCTCAGGCTCAGGCTCAGGCTCAGTTTGTGAACACCACTGAACATCTCCCGCCCTGCACACACATTCGTCATCCCAAATTCCGTCTGCCTAGTGGCCGAGCAGGCGCATCCGCCTCCGCCTCCCTCTCTGTCTCAGTTCCGCGCACACTGAACATGCTGTGCGCGGAAACTACACCTCCTCCTCCTCCACCACCATGAGCGCCGCCGTCGACACCTTGCCGAGCGCACGCCTTCCCACTGCGAACGGAGGCACGGCCGCGGGCAATCACGATGGCGGCGGTGAGCGCGTCTTTGCGCACATTGACGATCTCAAAGCCGACGCGCAGACGGGATACAGCCAGACACAATCAGTCAGCCAGCTGTTCGCTTTCGCCGAGCGATCGCTGCAACAAGCCCAGTCCTATATCGACTTCCGCCGCCCAGACCTGGCCTTTGTCGACTACCTGCGAGCCTACGAGATTGCAGTGTCCGTCATTCCTCGACACAAGGACAAGGTCCATTTCATGCACGATCAGCATGGAGATCAGAAGTTGAACATACTCCAAAGAAGGATCACTGCCTTGGACGACAAATTCGCCAAGATCAAGGAAGATATCATCGCGAACAACGCCCGCTCTGGCGTCTTGTCCCGAGATCAACGAGCAGGTAGCGGTGTCCCGCATGCACGTGCCGGCTCGGAAAGTGCTATGGCAATGGCAGTGCCGGTGCCAGCCTCCGGAGCACATAAAGTCAAGCCATCTGTCTCACCGAAGCCGGAGAAGCTCCATGCCAGAGCGATATCATCTATCAATGGCTCGACGTCCTCTCCTGGAGCAGAGTCGATTGCAGATAGATTTGCCAAGCTACGCGCTTTTGGTGCTGAGCTTCCGAACGGGAGACCGCGCTCGAGAGATTCTACTTCGTCCGTTCAGAGTCTCGTGATGCCTTCTGCGAGTGATTTTGGAGGAAACTCAGATGCCCCGCAGAAGTCTGCCTTGACCGCCAGACCTTCTGGACCCCGAGAGATGCCTGAGAATGGCACTGCGCCTGGACCTCCGGCGAAGTTGCCGTTGGACACCCTGATAGCTGCGGCCATGCCCACACCACCTAGTCCGACCTACAGCCCTGCTCGGAACATGCAGACGACCGGTAACATCGCGCCACCTAGGCACAGCGCCAGAAGTTTGGCAGGTCCTAGCCGCAAGTCGTCCTTGGTCCCTTCTTCATCTGCCTCGTACGTGGCTCCCAACGGGACAGGAGACTACTTTGGCAATGCTTCGACGAATGGCGCAGCACCAGTACCAGGCCAGATGCCTCGAAGGAAATCAGTTCACATGCCAAAGGAGACTCGCATTAGCGCCGAACGATTGTATGACTACCGGGAACGATTCAACATTTTGCTCATCGACTTCCGGCCTCGCGATGAATTCGATCAGGGTCACATATACACCAGGAATGTAATATGTATTGAGCCAGCTGGACTACGCCAGGGCATGAGCGCCGAGGAGCTGGCTGATCGTCTCGTAATATCTCCCGATGAAGAGCAAGAAATCTTCCACAACAGAGATAAATTCGATCTCGTAGTGTACTACGATAATCATACGCAGTCGGAAAGCTACCTTTCGCATCCGCAAGGCGAGGCCCAGACAAAGCTCAAATATCTACATGAAGCTCTCTACGACTTCAATCAAGATAAGCCGCTGCAGCGTCCTCCAATCTTACTGATTGGAGGTATCTTGGCTTGGGTCGACCTCTTGGGCAATCAAGCTTTACAATCAAGCAGCACTCAAGCCCGCGTCAAGCCCGGCCGACCATTGCAAAGGCGTGTGCCGAGAGATGGGCAGATGCGGCTGCCGAAGCGCCGATTGCGCGATTACAATCCCCTCGATGCGGAAGAAGAGAAGAAGTGGCGCGACCGAGCGCAAAGTGAAAGCATGCCAGAAGCTCCTGTACCGCAAGGCAGCGATGATGAGGAGGAGTCTGATGCAATGCAGAAATACCCCAACATCGACGAGTTCAATGCACGCTTCCCTGAAGCTGGTACCCTTGGACAGCAGACCATCACAAAGATGCCATCTCGTGATGCACCACCACGTCCTCAGTCTGCTGGGCTCCAGTATCCAGCTACGCCCGCACATTCGGTATATCCTCCCACGCCTGCTCGACCAGCACCAGCAGCACCGCGTGTGAGCTATACTGGTGTCAGCGACCGTGCAGTGTCACAAACGACGCCGACTACCAGGTCGTCCAGCCAACTGCTGCCATACATTCCTCAGAGATTCTTGTCGCAGAATATGCGCATTCCCAAGACAGGCATCCAGAACTTTGGCAATACGTGCTATATGAACGCGACGCTGCAAGCTCTATCTGCTACCACACCCCTCACCATCCTCGTGCTCGATGACGGTTACAAGAAACTCGTGCAAAAGGACAACTGGAAGGGCAGCCGCGGTTTGCTTCCGGAAATTTATGCAAATACTGTGCGCTCACTCTGGGAAGGCAAGTACGACTACATCAAGCCGACGACACTGCTTGGCTTCTGTGCACGTTTGAACAGCACATTCAAGGATCCGAATCAACAGCAGGATGCGCAAGAATTTTTCAGCTTCATTGTCGATTGCTTGCATGAAGACTTCAACGGTCAGTGGGCGAAGCAGCCACTACGCATGTTGACCGAGCAGGAAGAAGCGAAGCGTGAACGTATGCCTAGACTGGTCGTGGCCAAGACCGAATGGGGTCGCTATATCCATCGCGAAAACTCATTCTTGACATCATTATTTTATGGACAGCATTCTTCGAAACTAAAGTGCCCAAAGTGCAGCTTCACAAGCACGACCTACGAAGCTTGGGCGCTTTTGCAAGTCGAGATCCCAGACACTCGGGAGATCAGGCTACAAGAATGCCTGCGACAGCACTTCAAGGACGAGTTGCTCGACGACGAAAATCAATGGACGTGTCCGAGCTGCAAAGTGCCTCGACGAGCTACGAAAAAGCTCACGATGACTCGTGCGCCTCCCTTCCTGGTCGTGGCATTGAAGCGCTTCAAGCAGAATGCCAGGGGCGACCAACGAAAGATTCACACCGCAGTGCGTTTCCCGTTACAAGGCTTAGACATGGAGGAGTTTGTGCTCCCGCCCCCCTCACCTCAAGAAGCTGTCGATATCGCCACACACCACGGTGCAGATGCATTGAAGACGGACGTAACGTTGACTCCACCATACATATATGACGCATACGCTGTCGTGAGGCATCTAGGTGACACTACGAAAAGTGGCCACTATACCTGTGCAGTGAAGGACAAAGCTCGAGGTTGCTGGAGATACTTTAATGATACAAGACACAGCGACTTCCACCCTGAGAACGTCAGTGCAGGGCAGGCCCTTGACAACGACCAGGCGTATCTCGTCTTCTATCAGAGACGGAACGCGAATGAGACGAATGGCGCGGCGAAATAGAGCCTCCCGCCAAGCGATGTGATTGTTGCTGAGCGTTCCGAGCGTGTGATGCATTACGAAATGTTGATCATAGAGTTATGTATTTCTTTTGAGGCCAATCATAAAATATCAGTCCAGAACATCCCCATAGTCATCATCGCAGACCGAGAGATGCTTATGTCTTGCTTGCTCATGTTTGCTGCCCTCGCGCGAATCGGTCCCCTTTGGTCCGTGAACCTCTAGAGGAAGACTGCAACGATTGCAAAGCTTCGCGCAGTTGTTTGTTCAGGTACATGTTCGCTTTCAAGAAAAGGCAGTATTGACGAGCTCCTCCACTGTTTGCTGGCGCTTGGGGTAGCAGATGCCTACCTGCCCACCTCCTTCAAGTTCACAACACGATGCGGCCTATTGGATCACGTCAATTTTGCTTCCAGAATTTGGGCAGAACTCTTGAATCTGTGAGCGTGACAGAGCAAGCCCGCTTTTCATCCAAATTTCCTTCGGCTACTCTTTCATGAAACACGGGTCCCAGAGTACCCGAGACTAATAGAGTGGAAAGGGGTAATGGCCGGGCTAACGTGTTGAAAAAGTTCTTGGCTATGACGGTCGGCAGCCAAGGTGAATCAATGGATATGTATGCGGCTAGCGGTACCTCGGCTTTCTACCTGGATAATGCGAAGCTTGCCACATCTCAAGGCTTATCAGCCACGGCGTAGCCTTTGCCAGTACCCCATCACTCTTCAGCACGAAATAGCAGCGGGGCCCTGATGAAGACGCTACCTCGACCGACCTCCGCCAATATCCTGACCGAGCTATACAGATGTCAGTAGGCTGTAAATGAAAGTATGCAAGCAAGCATGACTCACCCGATATCCTCCAATCTTCTCCCACTCTACTCTCTGCCTCGTGACCGGGAGCTGTCGTCTTAAAGACTTGAAACTTCCCTCTGCCAGAGTGACGAAAGCCCTATTGAGTTCCTCTTGAAACTTATTCTCCGCCTTAGCAATCTCTCTCACCACGCTCTCGGCATTTCCAGTCCCAGATCCCAATTCCAACTTCTTCGACGTAGACATCCTCACATTGCCATCTTCATAGTAATGCACATCCGCCTTCACAGTCCCAGAAAGTGAGTTCGAAGAAGGATTGAGCAGGTACGTACTCCTCCAACGTCCATTCCAGAAATTCTGTGGGCTATACTTATTCGCTACCAGCACCAAAGCCACTGTCGAATCATTATCCACGGGGTAGACCCCGATGGAGTAGGAGGGGAAGTGCTCGGCTGCAGCAACTTGGAATGCTTTCAGGAGAGAGCGGACGAGATCTGCGTGCGAGGATTCGAGAGGATGCTGCTGGGCGCCGGAAGCTTTTTGCGAAGCGTGATCGAAAGCGAACGAGGTTTGAGTAGCGGAGTCGAAGTATCGGCCGCCTGCCAACACATTGTGCTCGCTGACGATGACGGAATCGCTACTGCCGGGCAGCTTCGCCGTTGTGTATTGTCCCTCGTTGTATTTCTTGAACGCAGAGTCGAGGGATTTGAGCAGGTTCGGCTGGCTACTGGCGAGCGCTTTGATGTCTATGTCTACCAATTAGTCACGTCCCGTGAAGACGGCGACACTTGTTCGAGGATTGTCGCGTACCATTGACGACATCGGCGAGCTAGATATTGCGTATTCTTGTCAGCCTAAGCAGTCTCCTAGGCCGAGCGCTGCTTCCTACCAACCTCTCCTGGTGGTGCTGACTCGATGAACGAGGCTACCGTCGCCTCTTTCGATCCCATTGTTGGTGCTGTGAAGACGATGTCAAGATGTTGTCGTTACTACCTGGAGCTCAGTTCAAAGAGGTCAAGTGGGAGGTGGGATGGGAGAAGGCGCAAGGCAGGGACGGAGCTCTATACATACCAGATTGTTAATGGAGGTTTGGCTTTACTTTAGTCTATTATCGCTTCCTATTATTGCGCCTTCCTTACTAACCTTACTATGCCTATTGTCGCGACAAACCTTACTTAGACTCGCTATACTTTCGCGCCTTGCCTCGCAATATTCTTCTTCTATCGATACCGATAGCGATAGCGATAGCGATACCGATACCGATACCGATAGTAGTAGCCGCTATAACTAGTATTCCGCGAGACCTTATTCTTAGCGTAGCTTTAGTAGCTTTAGCTTCTTTACTAGTAGCGTACTTACTAGTAGGAGGAGGAGAATATTTATTATAAGTCGTAAGGCGTATCGCTATAGACTCGCTACTAACTCGCTCTAGACTTCGACGCCCTACGACTATAAATACCTACGATTTCTAGTATTGTAGCGCGTAGATATAGTAAGAGCTACTCGATTAAATAGCGATACCGGATAAGAAGAAGGCGGTATTAAACAGACTACGGAAATATAAGGCTACTAGACTTATTATAGAAACGGACTCTAGTAAGCTTGTACTAGCGCTATGCTACTACTATATACGCTCTAATAACTTTAAGTATCGTATACTTAATACTAAGGGCGAGCGTATCTACGCTTATTACAAGTATAAGGGTAAGTCTAGCTATACGGCTAGTATAGAAGAGGTTAAAGAAGACGATAGAAACAGCGAGCTAGCCGCGATATAGGCGCGAGTCGAGGCCGTAGAGGTAAAGAATACTAAACTAGAGGTAAAGATTAAGGCATTAGAAGCTAGGTTCGATAAGTTAGAAGGATATTGCCTCTCGTAGTTTAAATAGCTTAAGAATAAGGCTATTATTAAGTCTAAGGATATATATACGATATAGAAGGAGCTATAGCTAAATAGCGATCGCGAGCTACTAGTAGATAATGTTTAAGGAGCGAGTCTATAGCGAGTCTACTACGAGTCTACTATTCTATCTCTTCTTCTTTAGTCGTTAACTACGCTTTGTCTTCTTAGCCTCTCCGCCGCTATTAGCCTCTCCGCCGCTATTAGCCTCTCCGCCGCTATTAGCCTATCTACCGCTATTAGCCTATCTACCGCTATTAGCCTATCTATTAGTAGGTTACTAATCGCTCGACCCTTTCGGAGTAGGCGTACCTCGCGGTATACTCGCGGTAGTATCGCCGCTTAAGTTAATTATCTCGGGCGGCTAATTCGTATCGATAACCTTCTTAGTCTATAGCTTTTCTTTCTTAATCTTAATGCTATTAACTACCTTTTGCTAACTCGCTATATTACTCGTACTAGTACTCGTAGTAATAGTACTTAACCGATGTTTCCGCTTTTATTGTTGCTGCTTCTCCTACTTAGTCTAGATATAGAGCTTAATCTCGTAGACTAATAATAACTTTGTTGCTAGTTTATAGACCGTTAAAGCCTATCTAAGTAATCGAAGCGCCTTACTTGCTAGCTTCTCTAGTTAATTAGTTGTTTTACTAAAGTCTATATAGAGGAAGTAGTTAAAATAGTCCTAGGTCCGATCGATACTACTATCTAGTAGCTCGTAGGCGTTAATCCGGTCGACAATCTAGTCTATAAATGTTATCTCGGCTTCGAGGAATTCTTAGTTAGTCTAGGCATCCGTAATAGTAGTATATAGGGTAGGTTTACTATAGAACTATATCTTAGTTGTACTCGTAAGCTTAACTTCTATATACTAAGTATAGATTAAATAGCGGCAATAGTATCCCTATGCTTTTAGGTCTAATAAAGCTAAAGCTAAAGCTAAAGCAGGTATTAGTAGACGTTGCGAGAGGCTCCGAGATCTAGCATTTAGTATTCGAGTTGCTAGCTTATACTAACTAGCAGTATTACGTATAGCATTAGCCGCCTTAGGTATAGAAGGGAACGCATTAAAGCCTCGTACTATACTCGCGGAGCTACTCGTAGCAGCGGCGGCTACTAATTGCTCGCGAATAAATTGCTCGCTTAGTAGATCGGGATTAAGAAGGCCGTATTATAAACAGAATCGGTATTTACTATATATCTTTGTATAGTCGACGCCTGATTTAGTGCAATAGGTGCCCCAATTAGTAGCTATTATTAGATTAGTAGGTATTGTTAGATAAATAGAGGTAGAAATAGTAGAGGTTTAAGAAGGTTATAGATAAAATCGAACTAGAAAAAGCGACTCGCTATATACTCGCGGCCGGCTCGTAGATCGCCGATTAGTATAAATCATTTGTAAACTCAATTATCCTAGCTTCCTAATTCCGCGCCGCCGCTAACTAACTACGTGCTACTAATAGCTTATCCAACTCTATTAGTTCCGGCTCTAACCCTATAGCTATATACTCCCTAGCTAGCCGTCGAAGAAGTAAGTAGGTAGAGCGGTAAAGGCGCTCTATATTATCGCTATTCTCGCTACTACTTACTAGATACGAGAAGCTATAAATCTACAATGCTATCTAATACTAAGAAAGCGTAGCCTCGGGCAGGTAGGCTTTAAGATCTAGGAAGTAGCGAGTCTATTAGCGAGTCTATAGCGAGTCTATAGCGAGTACTATAGAATCTAATATATACCGAATCCTTAAAGGTCTTCCTCTATATTATTAAGTACGCCGTTAGGCATAGGAATACCTTAATAAGAATGCCCGCTTAGCTCTAGATAATAGTATAGAATATACGGAATACCTAGTACGACGTATAGTCGATTAGCCTGCTTCCTAATCTAATAGCTATTCTAGAGGTAAACAAATTCGAGGACTTTATAGTGTATAATTAGTATATAGACTATAAGGAAGGCAATCCGATCGGCTAGCAATTTAGTATCGTATAGTAACTCGCGTAGTAACTCGTAAAAATAGCCCCTCTAGCTATTTAATATAGGTGCTTACTAGCGCTACTATGCCTCGATCCGCTAGTTTATCTTACTCGTATCGTATTTGAAGCAGTCTTCGAAAGCTAGTAGTTCTAGTTCTAGTTCTAGTTCTAGTTCCGGATCCGGGTTACTACGAGTCGTAAGGCGAGTCGCAAAGCGAGTCGTATAGTAAGCGTCCGCGGCTAGAATCGTTTCCGCCCTACGGTCTAATCGGATAATCTATAGCATTATACTACTATTCTTAATCGTTGCAATATATTAAGCGAGTACAGATATAACTGTCCGGCTAGTAATGCCTATATAGATCTAGATAATATAACGCGAGTAAATATTAATCGCTACGTAGATCTATATCCCCTAATGCTCGAATTTATAGTAAGCATCTATTAATATTGCGTAACTAGGGCCGGGTATAATAATCGCTCTATAGTGCTCTCGCGCCCGCTCGCGGCGGACTCGCAACCCTTTAGGATTTAGTAAGGAAGCTATACGATATAGCCGATCTCTGCTAATAATATTGTATTTAGACCTAATATAGGTATATAGGTGCTATCGGCCGAAGGACTCTACCGTAGACTTCTCGAGCTCTTCCTATAAGACCTCTACTATCTCCTCTTCCGCTTCTATCTATCTATCTCGCGATAATGCCTTCTTTAATCTAAGCTCTTAACGTATCCGTTAATATCTCCGCTAGCTAATATTAAATCTATCTATCTTTAGTATTTTAACCGCTTCTTTATTAGTTAAGCGTAAAGCGGAGAAGGTATATACGACTTAGATCTTTAGTGCCTCGACATTATTAACTCGGTTATAGTAAGCGTAATAGCTATAATTAACCCCCTATTCCTTAAGCCTCCGATAAAGCGTAGAAAGAGCTATCTAGTAACTAGTCTCTTATATAAGGTACTATAGGATTTCGCCTTATATAGTGCCGCTATTAACTTGTAAGGTTATCTAAGCCCTCTATAGCGAGAGATCGATACGTAGAGGCATTTTACGAGTCAATAGCGAGTATAGTGCGAAGGCAAACATAGAAAGTTGGTCGTAGAGGTGGGCTAGTAGAGGAGGCGGTGAGAACCTCCATTGACAATCTGGCATGTATGGGCCTCCCTAAAGGCAGGTGGGCCGAGCCGCCGTTTCAGAAAGTCAGGCTGAGACTGTCGCAGATGGGCATTAAGGGAATATGTGTGTGTTTGTATATAAGTGTGGGAGGGAGAGAAAGTGGGCGACGGAGGCCAGGAGCTCTTCGTAATGCAGTCGTGTGATCATTCAAAGTACCACGCTCTGCTTCGAGGCGTGTCCATTCACTCCAGACGCCATCGCTAGACTACGCATACAAATCTCATAGATGCATCTTCATCAAGCCGTCATTGGTATCGGCCATTGGCTGCAATCCCAGCTTCTTTCCGTGATTCACTAGATGTCCTGTTCCAATGGTGCCCGCAGTACTGCCATTGCTTCCAGAGCGATGGCTTTGACCACCAGTCTCGCCACTTGTGGATGGTGTATCTCTGCCTTCCTTGCGCTCTGGAGGTTGTCCCCACCCGCCATTGCTGTCCCGAGCAGAGGGTGATTGCGTCAGTACTGGACTGTTCTGAGCACTCATACCTGGTGATACCGCTCGCCTTTTGATCGTCGCAATATCGAAGTCGTCCTCACGTCGTCGTTTGAACTTTTTCAGATGCATATCATCGTTCACGCCCGCCGCCATTGCACCACTGCTGCTGTTTGGTTGGAAGGCTTCAGAGGCATCGGACGCTGACGACCGTGCTCGAGGTCTTCTCCATATGCTGAAGTCACCCATAGGCGAGTCCATGTTGACATCTGACATTGCACTACTACCCTGACGGGCGAAGGCAGGCGGCGGAGGAGTGCGCATTGAGGTGTCGAATTGGTTCCAGTAGTCGAGACCGCCGCTGTTACGACTTGCGTGTTGTGCAAAGTTGGTCCCCAGACTAAAGCCACGATCAGCGTCGAGATCACGACCAAAATCTTCTTGTGCCGACTCCGGCACTGCTGGCAACAGATTTGGTGACGAGGCTGCCGTCGAAGTTGATGGACGATCATTAGACAGATCCAGATCTCCGACACTGTTATCTCGCTCTCGGACCTGTCGCATGGTCTCAGCCTCTCTACGTGTCTCGCTGTCGACGGGTGCGCCTTCTTCCGCCAGTGCTGCTCTGATACGTGCGAAGCCTTTTGTCTTTGGCAAAAGATTGCCGCGACGCGTGACAGCTCTTCGCACGACACCAGGCGTGGAGGGCGCTGTCAGTTGTGCTTCATCGCCACTATCGTTCCCGCTCGACAGGTGAAGTCCATCAGTGCCCATTGCCAAACTCTCTCGCCTGCTGCGTGCGGCGTGTACAGAAGCAAAATATCCACCATTTCCAGCAGCAGTCTCGATGCTTCGCAACGGGGGCGGTGATGTCGCGCGAGGGGAAGCCACTGAGCTATAGCCGCTACCACTTGCACTACTGGAGCTCTTACGACTTCTCTTGCCGTTCTTGTGCAGGCGGGTCCGTCTGATCGTTTTCATCAAAGATGCTTGCGCAGGCGAGAAGTGAGCACCACTGCCCCAAGTCTGCTGACCGGGAGTGGCAGGACCAGTGAAGGGGGTCGGTGCAGCGGGATTATGGAGCTTTCTGACGTGTGGTGTGGTGAACATGACATCGTCTTCGCCTCCCATGCTGGCATCATCGTCGCTGTCCGTGCTTTCACTTTCCGACAGTATCATGTTGGCGCTGCCCACCGAACTGCTCACGGTGCTCTTCTCCTGCCCCAGCGTGTTCCATGGAACGCTACTCGGCCCCATCAAGTTCGGCGAATCCAAGACCATGCTACTTACGGAGAGCCTCCGACCTGGAATGGCCATTGGCTTCTGAGCTATGACGGGCGATGAGTCCGGGCTGCTCTGGTCGGCGAGAGTGGAGTGATGAAGAGTGGTGCAAGCACGTGAGAAGTCGAGACCCCGTGAATGTCGCGGCAGACTGGTCGCAGGCGAGTGATTGGGACCAGAGGGTTGCATGTAGATGTTGTGGGCATCGAGCTTGGGCGATAGCGATAGCGGTGTCACAAAGGCTGGTGCTTCTGTCGTTTGAACTCGGGGCGGTGGGAGCTGCAGTGTCAGGCCTCTCGAGAGAATGTCCGGTCGTCTCGCCGTCGGCGTAGTGGGTATGGCATGGTCGTCCCGACTTCCTCGACTGCGTTCTTTGAACTCTGGAGAAGGCGCCAGAGCGTGGGCGACGTTGCTGCCGCTGCTATTCAGAGGCGGATCTGAGAAGGATCGAGATTTGCTCGTCGAGACTGCTGAGACGGGTGTCTGTTCTGGTGCACGCGTGACAGCCGCATCGTCCTCCAAATCCTCCATGCTCTCCATCGTTCAAGGTACAGCGGTACTGGCGTTGGCGTTGGCGTTGGCGTCCCATACAGCCCGGACTTCGGTTCGCGATTCACGACTCGAACATCCGCCACGAGTCTCCTGACACTGACGCTGGAAGGTCGGCTGACGTCTAACAATAAGACTGGACATGTGATTCTGCACAGGAGCACGTACACGCGGATGATAAGTTAGACTTGATAGACTTGAGTGTGGCTTGAAGAAGCGGGCAGAGAGCGCGACATCAATGCTGCCCTGCCGTCACTCGCCTGATCCCTGTCGCCTACATCCCATCCCAGATTCCCAATGGGAGATGCGGAGATGCGGAGATGTGGAGGAAGAAGTATATCCGGCCCAGACTGCACACTCTCTACATAATAAATCAAATATAACAGACGGCAGCATGGCCCCCATACCTCCCTTTGCTGTAGAGCAGGCGAGTGAGCCACAGTCTCCTGCAATGCCTATCTAATGTTTCTGCAGTGGATGGACGAGTACGAAACAACATGCAAGTACAACATCGCCGAAACCTGCTGTGCCAGTATCTCAATCAAACATCTTGTCGACCTGTGCGAAGACAAGCGCACCAAAGCAGAAGACCTCATCGACCTTGAAGCGCCGCAGACTTATGGTGAAATCCGCGGCACCACAGAACTTCGCTCCAATTTAAGTCGTCTCTACTCAACCAAAACCGGCACACCTCTGCCAGCCGACAATGTCCTCATAACTCCTGGAGCTATCTCCGCAAATCATCTCGCACTGTACTCTCTGGTCGCAGCTGGTGACCATGTCATCTGCCACTACCCAACATACCAGCAGCTCTACACCATCCCTGAAACCCTGGGCGCATCTGTTTCCTTGTGGAAATCAGACCCTTCGAACAAATGGCTGCCCGACTTCGAAAACCTCAGAACCCTTGTCAAAGACAACACAAAACTGATCATCATCAACAATCCACAGAATCCCACTGGCCAAATCCTACCCAAATCCCTCCTTCAAAACCTCATCGACTTTGCTGAGTCCAAAAACATAGCCGTCATGTCCGACGAAGTCTACCGCCCTTTATTCCATGGCATCGGTCCGATGGACCTGGAGTTTCCTCCCTCAATCCTTTCAATGGGCTACCGCAACACGATCGTTACAGGCTCACTGTCAAAAGCCTACTCTCTAGCCGGCATCCGAACCGGATGGGTCGCATCAAGAAACCCAAATTTAGTAAGTGAAATGGCCAAGACGAGGGACTACACCACCATCTCCGTATCGAAGATGGATCAGAGTGTAGCGAACTTTGCATTAGGACCGGATACCATTCATGCTCTTTTGGGGAGGAATATCGCGCTCGCGAGGACGAACATTGAGATTTTGGAACGCTGGGTAATCAAGCACGATGACTTCTGTTCTTGGACGAAACCTGTCGCGGGCACGACGGCTTTTATCAAATTTGAACGGGACGGCAAGAAGATTGATGCGGAGGCGTTTTGTAAAGACGTGCAAGTCAAGACTGGAGTGATGGTTTTGCCTGGCACGTGTTTCGGACAAGATGAATTCGAGGGATATGTGAGGTTCGGCTTTGCTGGTGGCACGGAGGTGCTCAAAGAAGGGCTGGAGGAGTTGAGGAAGTATATGAGGAAGGAGTTTGACGGTATTCCGTTGGCGAAAGAGTAGTCGGACGCTGGTCCAAGCGACGGCACTGCGGAGCAAAATCACCCATTCCACAATTCCAATGTCACTGTGTGCACACAGTCCACGCGACGAGGCTGCGAATTAGACAATTCAGTTGGGCGTAAGGTATGATATATCAGCTCGGGTTCAGCCGCTAAGAACCTGTGTCATCTTCATACACTGGGTTGATTTGACATTGCAAGCACGCTCATGAGAGTGGCACTTTCATATATCAGAGCGACGCGATCATGTTCTGGTGACTGACGTGTTTCCACAACGACGGGTCTAGTCTTCTACCTCAGTCTTGATTCGGCTGTATCCAGTCACGACACTGTGAGGGCACTTATAGCACCGTTACCCAAAACCTCAAAAGTGAGTCCCGGAAACTGATAAAGCTTGGTATTACCAAGCCATTGCTCACTACCGCCTCCTTCCACGAGGTCCTGCTCCGCATCCGGTAAAAAGAAGCTACTGTCACTGGGATTGGCGCCCCAGGTACGGTTGATGACTTTACCACGCCCCATTTCTGATCCAGGCCAAATAACTTGGAAAGCTTGTATGAGGTCAGGCTTGATTTCATCAAAATTGTGCTCGGAGCTGGGGCTGGCGGTGGTGTTGCTGAGATGGAGCTGCCAGCGTAAGCGGCGATGCCGATTGAATGCGTAGCTCCCAGGGACATTGCCATGAATTATGACCTTCAGAACGACCAAGTGTTGACTGCCAGATAGCGGAGTGACGGGTAGACTCTCCTTCGCAAAGGAGGTGGGCTCGCTTTGTGGGCCCAAGAGAATGTCCATGCCGTGAGTGAAATAGCACCAGAATACTTCTCGACTCATTCGCTCAGCAGCATCATCTTCGGCGTCTCCAGAATCGAAATCTGTGTCAAAGGTATCTGTGCCTGTTGATGAGTAACTAGACGGCGGTGTTGGGTGATGTCTTCCGTTCGATATTGACCTTGAAGTACTTCTCGGTCGTGGATGCGTAGGCTGGTCCATGGCATTCTGAATTTCCCGCTTGTGAGTTGTATCTGGTGGACCTAGCTCCGTGAGGAGGTCTTGTGGAGTGGTCTGCCCAAGGACGATATGCACGGGCGGCGCTGGAGGCGTGCGCACGAGAAGAACTTTTCCAGCATCATGTATGCTCACATGGTCTATCTCGGGCGGTAGGTTGTCACGCGGCTGCGAGGTGATTGCCGATGTTCGAAAAGCAGTAGGCGCTTTGGTGAAAAGTGTCAGGCGTGCGTCCGGCCAGGTGTTGCCCTCAAACAAGGCCATGTTGGTCGCGGGCGATGCAGCGTGAGAGCCGAGCAGCGACACATGGTCTTTTTCCGGCGCATACGCAGAGTGCTGCAGAGGAAAATTGAAAGCTATGCCCGGCCAGGAGAGAGTATATATTCCCGCCTTGCCAGTGCTCGGCGGCATGTACTCGCCGGGATATGATGCGCCAAACAGCTGATAGATGCGTTTGAAGGTGGCCAAGCCATCTTTAGTCAAGTCACTACCCTTATACACTAGGCCAGCTCTTTGAAAGTCCAAGACCTCGATCAAGCGCAGTCGCTGATCACTTCCATCAAAGCGCAAGCGCAGACCATTCTCCGGTAAGCTCAGCACGATGGGCGTCTTGAGCGGGCTCGATTGTGAGATGGAAAGGTCGATCTTCGGGTAGCGCGTCTTGTCTTCTTTGACAGCGGTGAGAATGCTATGCAGAGATGCTCCGAGGCCTATATGGAGTCAGCTGCCTCGTGCTATTTGTCGCGTGTGCGGGCGGGTGGTTGGGAGTCCTACTCATGGAGCCTACGGAGTGGCCGGGCACTACGGAAATGGGCTCTGCTGGCATTGTGCATCGGCGCAGAGAAGGAGGAGGAGATGGGCAGTGAGGGATGTGTGGAATGTGAGAACGACAACTACTTTGAGCGCATGAGACTCAGCCTGTTTCTGCTGGCGCGCATGCCGTATGCCTATGCCTGAGCTCGCGCTGGGGTCATGTGGTTGAAGCCATGACGGATCTGCCGCGGAAGGAGTTTGTCTTTGTGTGGTGTTGGAAGCAGAAAGCGACTTCCACGCCAGGCATAAACTGCCACTATGGGATCCTCGCTTGCAGATATCACCTAAGGTACGGCATGCCCAGACCAGAGACTGTGTAGAGTTGGAGCAGGTGTGACGCAGCGTCTCCAAGGTTCCTTCTTCCAACTTGCAGGACAGGCCAGGGCAGGCAGGAGCTTGGACTGCAGCGCGGCGCAGGCGTTTTGTTGATTTGTTTACACTTGCCGCACTTCGCGCTCAGCGCCCAGCGACGCTTCCCTGTCGCTGTTGCCACTGCCACTGCTATTGCTATTTGTGCCTCGTCTGCCCCGACACACCTCTCTGCCGGCGCAATGACAGGAACCGGGCCCTCGAGAGGCTCCAGTCAGACGCGAAAAGTGCCCACAATGCGACCGAACATCGGGCGACCCGGCCCAAATAGAGCAGCAACGGCCACCCCGACATTAACAGGACGAACATCGCCAGCTGACAGCGTCGCGTCCTCGAGGAATAGGACTCCGAAGCGGAAAGCGGTATCGAGCGTCGACGAGAATGCGGGCGAAGAGACCAATATTAACGTGGTGGTGCGGTGTCGCGGCAGGAACGAAAGGGAAGTCAAGGAGAACAGCGGAGTCGTGGTGTCCACCGATGGCATCAAAGGCAAGAAGGTTGAGCTGTCCATGGGACCCAGCGCGCTCAGTAACAAGACCTACCAATTCGACAAGGTCTTCTCACCTGCTGCCGACCAGGGCATGGTCTTCGATGAGGTAGTCGCGCCCATCCTCGACGAAGTCTTGAATGGCTTCAATTGCACCATTTTTGCCTATGGCCAAACAGGAACCGGCAAGACGTATACCATGTCCGGCGACATCAGCGACACACTTCCTATTCCAGAAGCGGCCGGCATCATTCCACGTGTGCTGCATACTCTTTTTGCGAAGCTCAACGATGACGAGGCCGAGAAGAGCGAGCATAGTGTAAAGTGTTCTTTCATCGAATTGTACAATGAAGAGCTGCGCGACCTTCTGGCTGTCGATGACAGCACCAAATTGAAGATCTTTGATGACGCGAACAAGAATGGCCGCACGACGACTCTGGTGCAAGGCATGGAGGAAAGCCACATCAAAACAGCGAACACAGGCATTCAGCTCCTTCGAAACGGCAGTCACAAGCGCCAGGTGGCTGCGACCAAGTGCAATGATCTATCATCACGGTCACATACCGTATTCACCATTACTGTCTACCAAAAGCGGACCACAGACACCGGCGAAGACTACGTTTCGTCCGGAAAACTGAACCTGGTTGATCTTGCGGGCTCGGAAAACATTCAGCGTTCAGGCGCGGAGAACAAGCGCGCTACCGAGGCCGGCCTAATCAACAAGTCCCTGCTCACCCTGGGACGTGTCATTAATGCTCTTGTCGACCGTGGCAGTCATATTCCATATCGAGAATCAAAATTGACGCGGCTCTTACAGGACTCCCTAGGAGGTCGGACCAAGACTTGCATCATCGCCACCTTATCTCCTGCGAAAAGCAATCTGGAGGAGACCATTAGTACTTTGGACTATGCTTTCCGCGCGAAGAATATCCGCAACAAGCCTCAGATCAATCAGATGGTATCGAAGAAGACCCTGCTGAGGGAGTTTACAGCCGAGATCGAGAAGCTCAAGTCGGAGCTGATCGCGACACGTCAACGCAATGGCGTGTATCTTACGGCTGAGGCTTATGAAGAGATCACCACCGAGTCGGAGTCGCGGAGGATATTGAGCAACGAGCAGCGCGACAAGATCGAGACGATGGAGACGAATTTGCGCAACAAGGTGCAGGAGCTGTTTGTACTCACAAGTAACTTCCAAAGCCTCAAAAAGGACAACGAGACTACAAGAGTCATTCTCGAGAGCACGAAGAATGTACTGGAAAAGACTGAGCTTGTCCTGGAGCACACGAAGACCACGCTTGCGGAAGAGACTGCTTTGCGAAAAGCCCACGAAGACACGGAAGAGAAGCTTGCTGAGGTTGGCGGCGATCTATTGGGCACACTGGAGATCACCACAAGTCATGTCGACAAATTGCATTCCAAACTTCGAAGAAGATCCGATCTGCAGCATGTGAACCGCATGCGATGGACAGACTCTCAAGCTCATGTAGCGGATGCGACTGCGAGCATTGAGGGCAAGGTGGAAAGCCTGCGCCAACAACAAGAAGGACTGATTGCCTCTCTTTCCGACCGTATGCAGTCTTTTGTGGCAGACGAGCTGAGAGAGCTTAAGACTTCTCAAGATTTTCTCAAGCAGAGAGCGGGCGCGTTTGAGACGTCTCAATCTGAAGTCAATGCCCAGAACAAGAAAGCCAATGATGACATGAATGATGTCTTGCAAGAGATTGGTACTTTGAGGGAAGATGTCAAACAGAAAGTCGGCGCCGGCCTGAGTGACCTTTCGACTGCCGCGCAACGCATAAGTGCGGGCATCGCGTCGGAGCTGGACGCTTTCCACGGACAGCTTCAAGGCTCCTTCGTATCCCTTGGCCGAGAGTTCAGGACCCTTTTCGAAGATTTGATAAGACGCATGAACGAGCAACAGGCAGAAGCGCAAAGGCTGCGACAGGAAATCATTGAAGCCAACTCTTTATTTGTCGAAGCAACCCAGTCGACGCATGACCACTTGAAGGAAGCCGTCGAAAAAGAGAGGGAGATCGCCTCGAGTGAGAGAGTGGCGCTGATGGCTCAAATCACGAACCTCATCAACAACTCTGCAGCAGCGCAGGAGACTCGGATGTCTGGTTATCTCGAGACAGCTAACAAACGTGTCAAGACGTCTGCAGACACATACCGGATTTCCCAACAAACCTACGGAGATGGAATGGACTCATGGTCGACCAACGGACAAGCTCTTATTGACTCCTCAGTGAAGGCACGGGAGGCGATCAAGTCTAAGCTCAAGGCGGACTGGAACAGTGCCAACGATCAAACGATCAAAATCACCGAGACTACAAAGGCAGTTCACGGTGAGACAGTACGAATCGTTGGTGGGCAGATGGCGCAGATGGACAATCAGCTTGTCGCACTGGATGAGATCGTGTCAAGAGTGCGTACACAGAACCAGGAGCATCACGATGCTCACACAAACAGTCTGGCGCAACTGGTTAGCAACGTCCAGGACAGCTATCGAAACATTGGCGACCACTTCGAGACGTCCTACAGCCGCACTCAGGCTCTAGACATCGACATGCAAGACCGCGCGAGCACTTTGACACAGACATTGCTGGCTTTGTCTGAAGATGGAGAGGTCCGTGGCGCTCTTCGAAGTCTCCGAGATGATACTGGCGCTTCGCAGATGGTCGAATATGCAATCACGGGTGAGACACCCGCTCGCGTGCAATACTCGTACCCGAAAATGTTGCCGCGAACCGAGAACCATGAAAAGTTCCTCAATCGAATGCGTGGTATTCCTGAAAGCCCTGGGAAAAGCGGGCCAAGATCTCCTTCCAAATCATCACCTACCAAGTCTCCGGGCAAGCGATCCCCCACCAAGACTCGCAGCAGTCCGGTCAAAGCATCGTCTAGCCCGACCAAGACCAATGTGTTCGCCGACACCCCGCCCGCACTGGTATTCACAGCGGCTGCTGCCAATTCAGCTCCAGTATCCCGACCCCAAACGGCAAGTAGCCAGAACAGCAGCCTGCGCGAACTTGACGTTAATGTCGGAGCAGCCTCAGGACTCCATTCAAATCTCGCCGCTGGCGATGAGAGTTCTGAAGCGGGATGCAAGGTGCCCATTCCACCTCTCTTGAGACAGAAGACTAATCCGCTTCCCCAATCGCAGGTCGAGAGCAAACTGCCAACGAAGCGTAGTACGAGGATGACAGTCGCTGGCAATCTCGCTGCGGCTGAACGGGACAGTGGCGGAAAGGAGAACATCAATTTGAGTGCGAGTGTAGGACATGGGATCGGTAGGAGGTTGAGGAGTCGAGGAAGTGATTGATTGAGATGTGCTATCAGGGCTGTATAGTAGACCCCTCAAGAGGCATTGATGTATGTATGGCAGACTCGTGTCGGATTCATGGCACATAGCTTCTATTCTCAATTTTCGATTATGAGACGTTCTTAGCCGCCCTCGCTTGAGTTCTCGCCCAAGACAAGAGATCGGTGTTGCTCATGGCAAGTGTAGCATGATAACATGGTCCCGCCAAATTTGTATGCACAGCATTGTTGATGGACACCCTAGGAGACTATTGCACACCGGATCACCTCACATATGGCATGCTTCTCTGAGAGCCGTCTATATTGAGCAGATGTCATCTCGTCCGTCATCGCGTCGGCGCATTCTAGAAGCCGTCCGAATCAATCGAACGGGGTCAGGATGCGTGTTTGGTACCCTATTCCCGACACTCCTCCATGGTCCCCATGTCTCATCGTCGTTCCAGAGACCGCACTAGAAGCCTCATATCCACACCGATTCTGCCTCCTGCTTGACCTGCCTCTCCTCTCCTCCCTGGGAACGGAATGATAGTGGCGTCTTGAAGTCGAAATCTGAGAAATCGAATCTGAAGGAGCAAGATCGTCGTCCTCTTCTGTAATGGCATAGTATGGGTCGTATGGGACGAGCGCTCGCTGACGAGAAGAATGGGAGGAGGAGCTGTGCCTTGAAATGTATGGGCTCGGTCCTCCATGATGGACTGTATGGTGAGACGCTCTGCCAACGTTGACTACGGATTCACGTTTGCGCGCTGACGGATAGTGGTACTTGATGGCTCTAGGCGTGGGTCTGTGTGCTGTTCCTCGTGAAGAGGCAACTGATTCGTAGTCATGTTGTGGTTCGACATAGCTATCAGTATAGCTTGGCTGTTGCGATGTCTGAAAATCTCCCGAATCAGCGCCTGGGTATGCGTGTATTCGGGGCTCCGAGATGAGAGGATGGCTGATAGCATCGACGAAGGAAGTACTGGGCTGTACGAAGCCCAGTTTGGCGAAGGATGCAATCGCATCGTCTATTCGCAAGTCTTGAGCGTCCGGACGCCATTTCGAAGCTGAGTAGCTCACGCTGTAGCGAGAGCGGTCAGGCATGGCGCCAGACACGGAGTAGGAGAGTGATTCGAGCATGGCGATTTTGGAAGAATGTGCTTGGATGCAGGAGATGGGGGTGGTCAAGGGCAGCATCAGAAAGATGTTGTTCGAGTCTTGCTTATCAAGACCGGAAGAGTCAAGCTTGTGAAGGCAGCGCATGGCCGGCGCGAGGGCAACAAGCAGGCAGAGATGCGTGGTAGCGACGGCAGAAAGGCTGAAGGGCGGAGCTGTTCTAAGCTCTTCCGCCATAGGCAATGGGAAGGCTACCAATACCAATGGGACATGGCTTGCTATGCGTATGCGCTGTGGCTTGCGCTAGTGCGGTGCGGTTCGCAAGGCTGCAGGTGCACGGCGGCTAAGCTGCAGCGGGGCGAAAGATGTATCCGGGGTTGCGTCAGCCCACTTCACCCCTCGCCCGCGCTCGGGGATTTAAACTATACGTAAAATCGCACTTTCTTAGTAGGCTACACGTGAATTTCGACGATAGCAATGTTATAGAGCATATATAATAGGAAACTAAATATAAGTAGAATAAGAGATAAGAAATAGTAGATTTCCGGTATATTAGTAACTAAATTGCGACCGTAGGACCTCTCTTCTCGGCCTTATAGAGTGCGCGAATACTAACCTTCTTAGCCGATTTAGCCTCTATTACGCGGTACCTCGAAACGATACAATATAAGAAGGGTTATATTAGTAGATAGATAGGGTAGTAGTAAATCTATTTAGTATTCGATAAGGATCTAGGAGGAGAGGGAGGAAGGTAGGAGAGTTGGCCTAACGCTAAGCGCCAAGCCCTACCTAAGGCATTGAGACCCTAGCTTCACTCGGCCTAGTTACATACTAATTACATATAGCCTCTTTAGCCCTAATATACGCTTCTCTTCTAAAGGCCGCGCCCTCGTAGCCTACCTATATTCCAATCCCGACCTCTATTACCGCTAACTTAGCAAGTCTAATAAGCTGCTTAGCCGCGCTAAATTAAACACTTAACTACCTAATTATATAACTATATTAAACCTTACCTCTAAACAATATAATGTGTAACTCTAACTGCGCTATCCTTATATACAATAAAGTAAAGGGATATAAAGCTACAAGAATTAAGGACCCTCGACGAATTATAATACAAGCGCGTCTTCCCTACTATAATAGGTAGATATACGAGGTATTGTAGCACTACCTCCGTTCTAAGTAATGTCGTACGAGTTCTTTGCGTCTACTCTAATAGACCTAGAAATGTCCGCTCCGAGGGTTTGTCCGCTTCCGAGGGTTGTTCTTGTTATTACGAGGGCTATTATTTACTATCGTAGTTTCACTAGCCTAAATTAGTTAGGTTTAGCAGCCTTTAAGTATTAACTAATTATATCTTTTCAAAAAACTCAGTTCTTCTAGTTTCTATAGATAAAGGCTATTATAAGTGCAGTAGTAGAGGTTCGCTTCGCTTAAAGGGTCGGAAAGATCGAGGAGTAACCTATTGTCCGCAAGATCGACCCCGGCTAGCTTAGCTCTATAGTTTTGCCCTTAGTTAGTCTATTAGTCGCTTAATCTTTTAACTTAGTTAAAGTTTTAACTTAGCCTTAAAGTTTTGATTAAACCTTTAATAGGCTTAAAGCTTTGATCAAAGTTTTAATTAAAGGTGCCTTAGGCTCGTAGTGTAGGTAAGGTTGTATCTATAGGCGTAGCGACAATAGCAAGTAATATTAACAATAGTAGCGCTAGTCGTCTTAGCGCTAACTTTACCTTCTTTAACTAATAACAACTCGGCAACACCGTTACTAACATAGCGGTGTCCTTCCTTTCTTAAATAGCAATATACCCCGTAATACTGTTACTAATATAGCCGCGCCGGCTACGCCGATTGCCTAGGCCTCGAGGCCTCGACGGAATAAGGGAACAAGAGGGGGACCTATAGGGCGCGTTAGTAAAGAGGTAGAATCCTTAAAAGAGTAGGCAATTAGTTAACGCGTCGTAGCGCGCTTATTAACACTCGGTGCGCGTTTACTATAGTAGTATAGTCTTATTATCCTTTATTACTAACAATTGCTTGCTTCTAATTGGTTAGCTAATAGCACCCCGGGAATAGCATTAATCCTAGGCCTTAGTAGTAACATTATAAGCTTTTAGCCTTCTTCTTGTTCTTTACGCTAGTCTAATACTTATCTAATAACTCGGTTATGTCCTTAAAGGAGTCTTCGGCTTCCTATAAGTCCTATTCTAGTAAATAGCCTTGCTATCTTAGTAGGTACTCCTTCTTGCCTTGCCTAGTCCGGTGCTTTAGGATACGTTCTATAGACTACAGCTCTTTACTATCCGCTAGTATGTCTTCGTGTTTAGTAGGGGCTTTATCCCCCTCGCGTAGGTAATATAGCTTAAGGAGGGATACATAGAAGGTATTATAGATAGTGTAATAAGGAGGAAGCCACAACTAGTAGGCCTATACGGAGGAGCCCTTAACTTCTCGAATACGGAATAGACTAATGTATCTTAGTACGAGCTTAGGCCTTGTTTTGCCGTTAGGTAATAGGTGTTTACGGATACGGAGGTTCTTAGTGCTTAGCATAACTATATCGCCTTGCTTGAAAGTTATTAGCGTATAGTGTTTATTATAGTAGGCCTTCTAATATACCTAGGCCTTTGCTAGTTTATTAGCTAACTTAGCGTAAATCTCTCGCATCTTTTAAACCCTCTTAATAGCCGCTAGTGTTTCGGGTACTTAACGCGCTTCCCTTTCCTTACGCTCGGCCTCGAGCGATAGGGGGTCTTATAGTATAGCAGCGTTCTAACCTATTATAGCTATATATAGCGAAACCTTAGTAGATAAGTGTACACTATTGTTATATACGAATTCTGTAGGCTATAGGAGGTTGACCTAGTCGTTAGGGTTCTCGTTAATGTAACTACGCAGGTACTGCTATAGGGTAGCATTCTGCCTCTCTGTTTGACCGTTAGTCTATAGATAGAAGGCTATTAATAGCCGATGCTTTAGTCTTAGCTATAGGCATATCTCGCTCTAATAATAGGATATGAATGTCGTGCCCCGGTTAGAGACTATCCCCTTAGGGGTTCCCTAATAGGTATAGAAGATGTTGCTCTATAGAGCCTCTGCTATATTAATAGCAGTCCAATCCTTCCGTACCGGGATATATCGAGCGCCTTTAGTAAACCGATCTACTATAATAAGGATGGCATCGAAGATGTCCTTACTGCCCCTGCGTTTAGTAGGTAGAAGGCCTGTAATAAAGTCTATTATAAGCTCTATAAATAGCTTGTAAGGGATTGGTAATAAGGACAACTCGCTAAAAGGCTAATGTTTTAGTGCCTTAATACGTTAATATACGGCATACGTGTTAACGTATTCCTTTATATCCCGCTTACTATTTAGCTAGTAGTATATACGCGATAGTAGCTCGTGCGACCTCTCTATACTATAGTAACCGGTAAGCTTACTATTATAGTGTCGCTTAAGAAGCTCTTATCGGATCGAATATTTAGCGGGGACATAGTATCTGCCCTTAAACTTTAAATGACCTTTGTTATCGATCGACTAATTGTTACTCTTACTAGGTCGAGTCTTTCGCCTACTTATAAGCTTGTCGATACGTTTAGTAGCAAAGGCGTCCCTCTGCTAAGCCCGTAATAGCTTATCTATAAACGATTAACTATCCCTATTTGCAAGGTTATTTAATAGCACCCTCGCTATTAAACGAGGTACGTATTATATATATCTAATAGCACTAGTAGCCGGATTAACTGTATTAGTACTATCGCTGTTACTATATATTGCGATATCGACTAGGGAGTTATTATAACTTCTCCTATCTATATCCTTAGCCCTTGCCTTAATACGCACTGTTAATATAGCAAGAGCATTAATGTGCTTCAAGCCGTCGCGGAGTCCGGTAAGCCGCTTATCCTACGCTTGCTTATTAATAATACGGGCTATAGCGATCTTGTACTATAGGGTTGGAAACAAAGAATTAATATATTAGGTTTCGCTATCGTAATTAGGTCGCCTCGATAGGCTATCGGCAGGGTTACTTACGCCTAGCCGGTATAATACATTAAAATCGAACCTAGCGAGGTAGACGGCCTATCTAGCCTATCGACCTATAACCCTAGTAACCTTCGTAATTCTACGGAGGTTGTTATAGTCCGTATAGACCTAAATGGTATGCTAGGCACTATCGAGATAGTGTCTCTAGTACTTGAAGGCCTCGATAATAGCTAGGAGCTCTTACTCGTAG